GATATGCCCTCATTTTTATTTTCTTCCAAAACAGAATTTACGAGGACACTTCAAAAAAGTTCACAAGCCCAGAACAAATTACTTGTCAGCTGACTGTCGACTTTTTCATCGAATCATCAACAAGTGGAATTCATAATCTCAGCAAGTGATTGAGGCTTCATCCGTCGACTCTTTAAAAAAAAAGTTGGATCAACTGAGAGACCATCATTGCCAGGACCAATACAGGCCATCAAACCTTCTATCCTTTCCAAACTGAAACTGATTTCAAACTTGAACTTCTCTCTCTCTCTCTCGAGTTAACTGGGCTGGGACGCATTAGATAAGCTAGTTTATTAAGCCTTAGTCACAGATTCTTTATTTCATTCATAGATTAGGTGAACTTGTAATCACTTCAAACATAGCACAATAATAATAATAATGAATAGTCTGTTTTAAATATAATTTAATGCAGTTAATCAAACAATTTCATATATTATATTATACTACTAATTTTCACAAATATAAATGAAATGATACATTTGATGAATACAAAGAACAAAGACATGGTGATGTTGATATTTCATTCAATCTAATAAATCTACAATAAATTTCATGTTTAATATTCTATATTATAAACAAATAGTTTATTTTGTCTTTATGATGATAAATTAAAAGTTTTGTCTATATATTTATATACTACTTATTTGTGTTAATTATCCTAGACATATTAACATCCAAATAAAAGTTTATATCTTATGTCTTATTTTTAATGTTGAAGATAGTCTATAAAATATTTATGGTATAATAACTATGTACATTAAGATGATAAGGTTATTATTATTATTATTATTATTATTATTATTATTATTATTATTATTATTATTATTATTATTATTATGACGAGTATAGCGATAATAAACAAGTCCATTCAATTAGACTGAGTTGTGAAAAAATAATTATGAAACATATTTATACTATAAGCAAAGATGAATAATGGCTAGTAGTGGAATTGAAGATGGATGTTTCATACTGTTTAGAACTCGTCAGCTGGATGTACTTGCTATCTCATTAGCTAAATGGATAACGTGATAGGTTCGAGTCCCGAGGTGAACAACTGTGAGATACAGGTATATTCAGCTGATGAGTCACAAATAGGACGAAACACGCGTCCTAGATTCCATTACTAGCCACTATCCATCTTTGCATCCAGTGTTTGTGAATTAAGGCTATATCGAGGCGATACACACAGTATGCACATATGCCAATAACAGACTGATCAATTGCAGTCTTAAACCTTAATGGGGAGATTAAAAAAAAAACAATGTCAAGTGAATAGATTAAATTCATTATAATAATGGAACAAATAAAGACGTATTATTCAATCACTGGCATAAAATAAGGTACGTTTTATTTCTCATACATCACTCCATCTGCTATAAAAGCATATATGCCACTTAATTATGACTATCATTTGACGGAAAACCCCCTTGAGACGACATATTATTTAATCTTCCTGACAAAAATAGGGAACATTTGTAAATGAGCTCGTTCAATTAAAGGGAATGAGCATCGAAAATGAAATAGGGACTCATTTTTTGACTATATAGATGAAGTTTTAAATTACATTCCTAGTAAACTAATCATGATAGTTGCATAAATATTTTCTACATGGATTTCATCAAATGTTCTCGAAAATAAAACTCGTTACAAGCCTACGAACTCATTCAGTAACCAACCTGTGTACAACCATTCCTTACTGATCATGAACGAAAAAACAGTAATACCTGCATAAACTTCACTGAACTCATTACGAAACAATTGAATAAAGAGGATCACAAACAATTAATAAGGAATTATCAAAAACTGAAATTTTGAACTAATCAGTTAGTATTAGAAGGGGTTTTGTGGAGATTTTAGAAATTTCAATAATTGAAATCGTGAGATAATTAAAGCTAGACCTAGAATGGGACTTCTCAGCAGTGCGCATCCACGATTCCGCCTCCTGTGAGATGAGGAGTTCCATACTAGGACGAAACGGCCATCCAGTGCCTCCAGGTTTCCCATGGTGGTCTAGCTTTAATTGACTCATGATTTCAACTAATAATCATTTAGTGTCAAATTCAGAAAGAATAGTACTAAGTGAATTTATACTTACGCTACTTACAAATTACGAGTAGTTATTATTTTCACACAAACTAATTGGTCATAGAATTTAACTGAGTTACAGTACGGCTGTGCGTTTGTTTAAAACGTTTAGCTTCACCCTCAGTATTGTTTCAGAGGAAATCATAGAAAATTTTGTCTGAAACAAAAGTGTACATTTTGGGAAGGAACAAAATTGTAGTGTTGAAGTACAAGATAAGCCAAATCACACTTGTTTCTAATCCTAAGGACTACATTTTGTAGCCATCTGGCCTCATGACACTTATATCTAAATACTACTATCAATGTTAGCTAGGTGCTATGGAGACATTTCAGACCATTACTTTGAACAAAATAGATTAGCATACAGATATAGGGTTCACCAACCCATTATTTTGAACGTTTAATAATAGATGTTTTATAATTCCGACGCTAAACTGATTAGACATAAAATATTTTAAACGATATAACAGTAGTCTGGAAGTGCATAGTTTGATGTCTAAGTAATCTGTGTTTCTTATATGTTCATTATGCTAGGTGCTTGTAGGAAAAAGAATGTGTTCAAAATGTGTGGATCTAGTAAGTTTAGCAAATCCATATGGTATTTACCAAATTTCCTAAAATAATTTGGACAGTGTGATGTATTTGATAGATGTCAGGTTATCTACTTTTTGTTTTAAAATTATAGTCCTCACGTTAAAAGGTTACCGCGCGATTTTCCTTCCCATTCATATTCCCGCTATAACCACTGTTACTTAGTTTGTTAATCTTACTGTCCTAAAGTCCGACAATAGAAGTGGTTACTTCGTTACGGCAAATTACGTCTGCTTCGGTAGGTGGTCTGCTTAACCAGTGGGCCGGGAGCACTTCCTCCGCCATCCCGTCATTTACAGCCCCAAATGCTCTGATAGGACCGAGAGTGGGGAGAGTCAGCTCTCCCTCTCCGAATGCTCTCACATGGCCATGTACATACAACCACTAACAGAGAAGTCCTGCTCACTACCTTCTCGCAGCATTACTGTTGTTTACGAAATTGAGAGGACGAAAAGCGAATGTCCGACGCTTTGAATGGGTTGGTGGACACGGATGGTCCACCTAAGGGAGTTGGAAAATCCTCATTCCAAACCGACGATGTATGTGGGCTCCATAATCCTAAGGAAACAAATGACATATGAACCGATCACTGGTCACCGGCTACAATGGGATTGCATCTTCTCACGTTGCGTGGGTCAGACCTTTAGGTTGAAGGTTCGGGGTATGGCCCCTTAATAAAAACATCTGTTTCGGTTGAGACACCTGGGCAGTATCACATCCCTCACACAAATCGAATGATTAATGTGGAGCATATCTATCTGGTGCCTCCTTGAATCAATGTTTATGTGGTTAAATAAATAAAATACTATCCTTAGGTTATGCTTTTTTTCTGCTTCAACTTGTCAAATACTAATTCTTTCATAAACCTTCAACTTCCTTGTTTTTCATAATGCTAGGGATTACTGTTGATAAGCTACATGTAAGTTATATAGTCCGCATATATCTAATTTTATAATAAAAGAATATCTCAGTCGTTCGTAATTAGGAATTGTTGAAGTCTACAGCCAACTTTATATATTGTCAAACTCTCGAATTTCATTGTTTCTATTATTGAATGAATGAAATCAAACCAATCGGAATGTAGTACTAGATTAAGATTAGTACTTGTTTAAAAATGCCAATGTAAAGAGTTTTCTTTAATATATATAAATATATCTGAACTGAGATTCAAGAAACATGTTCCTCATTTCTTGTTACTGTTCTAAAGTTTGAGGTATTTAGTGATTCTTATTTAAGTTATTACAATCTTCAACAAGTTTTTTTTTTGAAAACTGTGTTGGACCAACAATATTGTTCAGTATTGATTTAGTTTTGCGACAGTTGAGCGGTGTATTGTTTATTATGCAGGACAATCTGGCTACTGGGACCAAAAAATAGAAATGAAACTCCTTTTCTTCACTAGTAATTACCCGACAAGATATAGACAGGTGAAAAGCATCATTGTCCATTTACGCATTTTGTATTTTCTGCGATTATAAGCTGACACTGCGTTCCATGACCATGTAACCTTCTGTCTTCGACTATCACTGATACTATTTCTATAACTCAGCAATTAATCTTGATAATTTAAATCCGTGTGGTGATATGTTGCGTTAAGTTGAACAAAATTATATATATGAGCCACATTTTACGATACTTATCTCTATCCATATATCTGCCCAAAAAAAAGAATCAAATGAACTAAACAAGGTTACGATAAATATAATAGGACGAAACGGCCGTCCAGTGTTGCCAGGTTTACCATGGTGGTCTAGCTTCAATTGACTCATGATCTCAACTGTTTAAATTACTACAACTTCCACAAAACCCATTCTAATACTAATCAACATACGCTCATTAGTGACTGGCTTCAAGAGGTATTTCCTGGAGTTCTAATGAGAAGCAGTGAACAGTGAAATTCAACCGGATCTGTTGTGAGATAGTAACTCACTGAAAACAATGGTAGATGTGTCGCTCAATTTCGTGGATTAGTGGAAGTTAGATATAAACACCGTTGGATATCTGCTGGATCAGTGGTCTAGAGGTTAAGTGTTCAAGCACGAGAGTGATAGGTCGTGGATTCGAATCTCGCGAGATGGGATCATGGATGCGCATTGCTGAGGAGTTCCACAATAGGACGTGGTGGTCTAGCTTTAATAGACTCATGACCTCAACTATTAAAATTATTATAATATACACAAAACCCCTTCTGAAATATAATTCAGTTTAGAAATAGTTTGTTTACTTTTAACTACTAGAAAAATTGTAAGTAGCCACATTACAATCAACAACAACAACAACAAAAAAAACCCCAGCTATCGATGTATTTTCTAGACAAATCAATCTATTCAGTTAAGCTGATCATATACATTAGAATAATGTACAAATATATTAACCAAATCATAGGTAATAAACAAATAGATATTCATATAAAACTGAAGAAAAATGTAAAAACATACTACTAACAACATAATAAATAAACAAACAAACAAACAAAAAGAAAAGAAATTCATAAACACTACAAATATACACATTAACATCATTGATTGGAAGTAATAAAATGCACAATTGAGGAGAATGTAAGAAAGTCACTTTCACATTGTTTCGTAAATATACAATTCGAATAAATTTATTCTTTTAAAAGAAAAACTAAACAAAACAAAAAAAAAGAAAAAAAACTCAACAAATACATGAACTAAGAAAAAAGAGAAAAAAAACTAGAAAAGGATAGAATGAAAAAGAATCTATCTTGTTGATTTACCTTATTGATCTGTAGGTTAATGATGATAATAATGATGATGACGATAATGACAAGACGAAACTCTAAGAAAAACATTCAACAAATACATTAACTAAGAAAAAAGAGAAAAAAGAGAATGAAAAAGAATCTATCTTGTTGATTTACCTTATTGATCTGTAGGTTAATGATGATAATAATGACAAGAAGAAGAAACTCTAAGATTAAGGCAGCTACACCATGAGAACCGACTAGGAGATGGATAAAAAACCAAAAGAGGAAAAAAAACGAGAAACATTTCAATGTTGTACATATATAGATAATTATACTATTAAAATGTTAAGGATTAATTCCTAGGAATAATGTTAATCAACAATTGATGATTATTAAACTATAGCGAAATATTACAAGTAAATCAATAAGTATTGAATAATAATTTATTTCTATTTAATATACAGTCTACCCACTCTTGCTTCGGTTTGGGCACCCAGACAGTAACAAAGCCCTCACACAAATCAATGATAACTGTTACTCCTGCCTCATTGTTATTGTGTAGTATATATGTATTTGGGACCTCCTTGTACTAATGTTTATGTATTCGAATAAATAAATAAAGTTTATCCGCTTACATTATACATATACAATACTTTGTACAAGATCAAACATGAGACTTTGGCATCATATATAGTAAACTGTTAAAGTGTAAGTAAAGTATAAACTACTGTTCATGAATGGTAACTTTTGAGATCCATTATGGACCAATACTATACGTATATTTTTTTATCGTATAATTATTATGTAACTAAACGATTCATATCCGTGTCCCACTTATTATGAGCTTTGTTTTGACCTATGAACTATTATTATACGATTTACCATTCTTGAATTATTCCCTGTCTATTACATACTACCTCTCACATTCACAGTCACATCTGGCTAATTCTTGTACAAATGTTGTTTCCTATTTTATTGATACGATATGGTCTGTTTGATTGGTATATAAACTCAGTATGTTTGAAATAGAATTATTCATATGGCAGAGGCTGAGATTGGTGTTCTGGACTTAACTGGCTGGGCTAGGCAGGAAGCAGGGCCAATCTGGAATCTAGGCTGCTCATATGGGTTTACGCGTCATTGGTCTGATCGATAATTCACTGCTCTCTAATCGGCGGTCACAAGTTATAACAATAGATTTAATTCGTTAATTTGTAATATTGATAACAATATCTCTGAAATTCCGTCTCACTGAAACTCTAAATCAACATAAAATTCATTATCATTATAGGATTGTGGAGATTGTTGAGTATTAAATTGATATCATGAATCGACCAATGTTCTCGAAGTTCGAATGAGAAGCTGTAACTAGTGAATTTCAACCGTTTAAGACAGTTATTCACCGAAGATGATGGAAGATAGCCGTGCAATATCGTGGGTCGGTTGAAGTTAGACAATAACACCGTTCGATATCGGCCAGTTCAATGATCTAGAGGTTAAGCGTTCGCACGCGAGACCGAAGGTTCTTGGTCCGAGTCCCACACACAGGACCATGGATGCACACTACTGAGGAGTCCCATACAAGGACGAGACGGTCGTCCAGTGCTTCTAAGTTTCCCATGATGGTCTAGCTTAAATCGACTTATGAATTCAACTATTAGATTGCTACGATATCCACAAATCCCATCATTCTGATAATTACGATACATATATCCTTGATCATAAGTTTTCGATTGATTCATTAACGATTGCTATGCGATTTACTGTTTTTAATCTATTCCTAATTTATTATTCAGTCTCCCTTACATTCAACTACTTTTTGGCTTGACCATGTGTAATTATTATTTCTGCTTTTATGGTGTGATGCGGTCTGGTCTTCTTGTATATAAACTACAAAGAGACATTATTTGTTTAATTTGTTGTAAGTACTAAATTTTCAGTAAGGACTATGATATTATTGACAGAACACATAAACTAAGGGATTTGTTTCTATAAAAAAAGTCATCATTTTTCCACGAACCTTTATTAATGAGTACACGAGAAGATACGTTCTCATGGTAACTTGTGACAAAAGCAGGTTCATATATGTTTAATCGTTCTCATGCAAAACCTTTCGCTTATGTGCAGCATTTGATCCGGAATAAAGGGCTCTCAGCTTTTTAAAGTACACACTCTATAACCAGCTGATTAGATTAAGCACTGAACGTGTTTTTCGTTTTCTAACGTTCCTGTTAATAAACCACTAATGGAAAGTCATGAACAAGATCCTCATGAGAAAAATTTGTAACTGAGAGACAGGATGAATGTTACAAGAGAGAGAGAGAGAGTGTGTGTATGGTTCAAGGATTCTTAGCAATCATCTCCAACCATCTAAAATCGAAACATCTTAATATTGAACCAAAAACACACATATACACACTAGACAAAACAAAATACCAAAAAAAAACAACAAGAATTTTACAGTATTTCATCATCATTAATCGTTAGATGTCGGCTCAGTGGTCTAATGGTTAAGCGCTTGCGCGCGAGACTAATAAGTCCTAGGTTCGAATCTAGCGAGGGGCGTGATCGTGGATGAACAATGATAAGTAGTCCCATACTAGGTCAGAACGGCCATCCAGTACCTCCAGGTTTCCCATGGTGGTATAGTTTCAATTGACTCATGATTTCAACTAATGAAATTACTAAAATCTCCACAAAACCCCTTCTGATTATACTTACATACCAAAATTCTAACAAAAACACCCCCCTTCAAAAAAAAAACAAACCAACACTTATTGACTACTACTCACTTGATTTCTAATGAAAATTAAACAACGATAGAGAATAATCCTTCTTTTTGACAATTCACTTGGTAATCATAATTTATCTGTAATAATATCTACTGTAACTGTTGAATTACAATAAGTCACTGGGATATTTTGAATGGGTAAATTTATAGTTTTATCTCCAATTGGATTCTTCGAATTATCATTATTATTATCATTATTACTAGTAACAGTAGTAGTAGAAAGTATATTTTGACAATAGATTACAGCATCATGTATACTAATAAATGAATTATGTTGAATTTGTGATGATGTTAAATTATCACTTATTAATACTGTATAAATTTGTGGATCACATATAGTGAATAATATACGAATATCTAATTCAGCATAACTTTTAATTATCTACAAAAAGTGGAACACAGAGAAAGATAGAGATATAAATGATAAAATGATGAATTAAAAACATATTCATATGATACAATTTATGAAGTAATTAAAAACTAGCCTCCAAATGCCCTGGTATGGCCGAGAGTGGGGAGAGTCAGCTCTCTCTCTCTCTCTCCAAATGCTCTCACATGGCTGTGTGCGTACAACCACGAACAGGGAAGTCCTACTCACTACTTTCTCGTGGCACGGGTGTTGTTTATGAAATTGAGAGGATGAAAAGAAAATGTTCAGGGCTTTAATCGGATTGGCTGGCACGGAGAGTCCACCTATGGGAGTTGGAAAACCCTCATTCCAAATCAATGATGTACATGGGCTACAGGATCCTAAAGGAACAAATGGCGTATGAATCAATGATTGGTCATCGGCTACCATGTGACTGCATCTGCTGACGTTGCTCCAATGCTTTGTGGATTAGACCTTAAGGTCGAAGGGTCGGGGTGTGGCCCCCTAAGAAAATCACCTGTTTCGGTCGAAGCACCTGGGTAGTATCCCATCCTTCACACAAATTGAATGACTTATGTAGCACAGATCTGTCTGGTGCCTCCTTGTACCAATGTTTATGTGTTTAAATAAATAAATAAACAACAATATGAATGATATAATAAGGTTATTATCATCTATATTAACATAACTAGTCATAAAGAAGGCTCATTGTGGTGTGCTATTGATGTCGACAGATATAAGTAGTATGTATAAACAATCAAAAGCGAAATGCCTGGAGGCAAAAGGTTGAGGAAATTGAAGAGAAGAGAATGAGAACAGAGATTGATTAGTATGAAAGCGAATGAATAACGAAGTCTGAGATGATTGATGGCTCTCAGATTTTACCAAGATATTCTGTAATATTGTATCAAAATATATTTGATTGTCCCAGCCTGACCAGTGGAGCTAATCCTTGTCGGGTAGAGACAAGTATCTACCTCAGTACAACGGAAGTTGGTCGCGCAATTTCGTGGATTGGTTGATGTTAGAAACTATCACCATTGGATGCCGACTCAGTGGTCCAGTTGGTTAAGCTTTCGCGCGCGAGACTGGAGGCCCTGGGTTCGAATCCCGCTCGTGGATGCGCACTGCTGAGGAGTCTCACAATAGGACGAAACGGCCGTCCAGTGCTTCCAGGTTTTCAATTGTGATGGTCTAACATCAATCGGTTCATGATCTCAATCAAAAAATTCATTTTTATCAACTTAAAATAGGTGTTGACGATACAACCCTGTCGTTAAAATATCAGCGATAGCTTCATACTTAAACCATACAACTTTGAGAGTGAAATATTATGATTAGGTGATTTATCAAGTTTTAAGTCATTTGAATGGGAACAATAAGAAAAATATGATACGCTTAAAATACTTAATGAAATTTGAGAATATTAAGACCTAGTGATATGAACATTGTAAGTGGAAAATCTTTAACACATCAAGAACTAATTAAAACTTTAGATCACTGAATAAGTGTTTGACAGAAGCTAAGGCCACTTCATAATGATGAAGAAATCATACTATGTCTACGTTTCGTCCTAGTTTACACTCGTCAGCAGAATGTACCACCAATCTTGGTGCAACTAATGCTACCTCATGGATTCAAACCCATTTCACTCATATTAATAGGTTGAGAAGTAATCATTAAATAAAAATATACAAAATGAGGATAAAAAGGAGTATATAAATGACGTAGTATAAAGGATTCCGATCGCGTCCAAACTAATGGCTTCCGTCATACTTCGTAGACTGCTCAAAACCCGATGAAGATCGACTCTTGAAAAGCAGGCCGGTTTCCGTTTTGGTGGAGGATATATTGATCATATCTTCACCCTCCGCCAAATGTTAAAACACCGTTATACTTATTACAGACCAAAAATCGTAGTGTTTCTTGACATTAGTACTGCCTTCAATTCGTTGGATAGGACTGGTCTATGAGGTTGTCTGTTAAAGAAGAGTGTGCCTGAGAAGTTCATTAACATCTTGAAAGCACTATATACAAACACTTCAGCAGAGTGAGGGCATACAACCACCTCTCCCCATTGTTCCATTCGAGCAGTGGGGTTAGGCAGGGTTGCCCAATCGCATATTCCTCTTCAACTTTGCCATCGATGACATTCTGGAAACAGCTCTGATGGATGTAAGTAATGGTGGTGTGGATCTGTTGCCTCGAGAAAGACTTCTCGACCTTGAGTATGCGGACGATATTGTCTTACTGTGCGATAATGCCCAAGTCATGCAATGCGCACTTAATCAGTTGGCAATCAGTGTCCGTAGGTATGGTATGTGCTTTGCACCTGGAAGGTGCAAAGTAATTCTACAAGACTGGCAGGATTCTAATCCTGTATTCACTCTAGATGGTGAGCAGATAGAAGTAGTCGAGAAGTTCGTGTATCTGGGTAGCTGCATAAGTGTTGGTGGTGGCGTGAGTGATGAGATCAATGCACGAATAGTGAAAGCCAGAGCGGCTTATGCCAATCTGGGCCATCTTTAGCGCCTTCGTGATGTTAGTCTGGCTGCAAAAGGTCGGATCTACAACGCGTCGGTGATGGCAGTTTTGCTCTATGTTTGTGAAACCTGGCCTTTCCGAGTTGAGGATGTTAGACAACTTTCTGTGTTCGATCATCGTTGTCTCCGAAGGATTGCTGACATTCAGTGGCAACACCATGTTAGTAATGCAGAGGTTCGGCATCATGTGTTCGGGTACAGAGGTGATAATTCAAGTAGTGTCACCATCTTGAAACATTTATTTCGGTGGATTGGACATGTCCCACAAATGTCAACACTGAGAATTTCACGTCAGACATTATTTGCCGACGCTGGGACAGGTTGGAAAAAGCGAAGAGGCGGTCAGTGTATGACATGGTGTCATGGTATGAAAGCTGTACAGGAATGACTTCTATTGGTCCTTCAAGATTCTCTGGTTGGGGTCCTAGAGATGGTGCAACACAGTGGCTAGAGATGTAATCACATATGGTCAGTGGAGATCCTACTGTAACTTTATTTCACTTCATAAAAAATGGACGTAGTTTCTTTAACTGGAAGAATTCTTTCTGGTTGTACCTTTGCTAACTGAACTGCCTCTCCCATTATTATTATTTCACTCTCATGCACTAATTTTTATAATGAAGATAAAAACACTATGTTGTTAAAAGGTATTCGAAAAAGTGAATCGTTCGGACGCCAATCTTGGGCTTACAGAGATATGAGAAGTTTGTGGATTTCCATTCCGAACATATTCGTGAGTATGCACTGCTTAAGAGTCTCATACTGGGACGAAATTAGTTAAACAGCATCTTTTTGATATTTGATAATTATAAATAGTTCCTGATGCAAAACAAATCAATTTCAAATCAACACAGTGTTCATAATATTGTTATGCTGAAAAATTGTCGGGAATTCGAAAAACTACGCATGAAATACAACAACTCAATACTTCCAAATACCAAAAATAGCGGATGTTACAGTTATCTAAAATTTTCACAGAATTGACCATCATTAATTCAACCAATGAAAAACTTACATCAGTAATAGTTCTCATACCAACAAAATCCAAATAAATCCATGATGATATATCTAAGATAATAAATTTCAATTGACCAGTAAGATCATCGTCATTTTTACTATCATTAGTCTATTAGAAAATAGAATAAGAATTTAGAAAAACAACAAACTTTCAAATAATTATCTTGTTAATCTGAATAATACAAATAAAAACTTCTTTTGAAGATATTTAGGTAGTCTATTCAATAAGGAAATACAGTCATTGAGATTATTAAGAATATCATTTTACAAGCTCTTCATATATATGAATTTTATCCCATTCAAAATATTTCCCATTTTTTTATGGAGAAACATTTTTCCTATATCCATTCCTGTCATTCTCAACATCTATCAAAAGTTGCCATTGGTTAGATCACTGAATAGTGACTGGTGTCATGTTTATTTAATCTTTTAGTACTAATCAAATGCTGTCGATTAAATTGTAATATGGTCACTAGTATAAGTTGATTATGAATACAGTGGTCTTGGGTGCTGTTAGAGGTATGAGGGCGGTTATCACTTCCCGGTTGCCCACACCGTGGAAGGGTTCTTCTGGAGGTACCTGAAAAGGAAATTGGATTAGAGGCGGTCTCAGTGACCTGAGAGCGTGACCGCAGTGCCCAAGGGACAACTGCTTGAGGCCGGTCGCGCACGGCCTTTTCGTGGGAGGTTTTTGACGTGTTAGCTCCGTTCTTCAAAGGGCCTTACCGCCGGAGACGGAAATCGGTGAGGTAAGGTGAGGTGCGCATTTTTAGGGTCGACCTTTTCTAACCCCACCCCTCCTTGTGGGAAGGCAGCATCGCTGTCATGTCTCAATATCAAGTGGATTAAGACGAGATGTTAGGTGGTTAGAAACAGTTGATAAGATATCCTGTTTAACCTACGTTTCATGGTAGCTAGTAATCATCAGCAAAGCCTATCATTAATCATGACAGTGATCAATCAGTTGTAAGTACCTCACTTATACAGAAGGTCAGTGACATCGTGAATAACTCAATAGTATATTCTCGGACTATTGAGCTAGTTCCAATCCAACAGAGAGCTTAAGTCTCTTTAAAATTCTAAGTATGCTTTGCTGATGAGTTTTAACTAACACAAAAACTAGGTCAGGCAGAATTTCCATTCTGCTATGTCCAACTACTAAACATCTCACATGGTTCCTCATAAATACTGGGTCCTTCACCTTACCCACCATTAGATTATCTCAGTACTGTCTATGAATGACCATGAATGACCACTTAGCGTTTAAAACACAAAAGTATCATAGAAAACTATCTCCAATGAATGTGAAATATGATCTAGTGTGATGATCAAGTTATAAGTTATAAAAATGCTAACAATCACTCTTGAATATCTCTATATACAGTGTAGTAATCCGTGAAAGCGTTTGAACAATATAAATGATTAATCATTTCTGTTAGTTATATGTATTAACAAACAACCTCAATAGATCAGTTCACGTATTTGCTAGACAGATAATGGTTCACAAATATTTTTCATCTTAAAAAGTGTTTTACTTAGCATACAATATGATCATTTAATTCATTTCGTATTGTTTGTTTGAATCTTCCTATCGATGTTTAAGACTGCAATTGATCATTCTCATATTGCCATATGTGAGTCCTACGAACATCAAGACAGTTCTAGTAAACGAAGCTGAAAGTTGGACAACTACTGCAACCATCATCTAAAATGTATTGGTATTTATAAACAACTCTCTACGCAAGACATTCAATATTCGTTGGCGGGATACCATCAGCAACAACCTACTTCGCGAGAGAACAAAAAAACTACCAGACGAAGAGGAAATGAAGAAAATATACTGGACATGAGTAGGACATAGATTGCAGAAATCACCAAACTGCATCACGAAGCAGGAACTGACTTGGAATCCTGAAGAGAGACGGAAAATTGGAAGGCCAAAGAACACACTGCGTCGGGAATCGGAAGCAGACATCAGAAGGATGAATAGCTCAGTGATCTAGAAGTTGAGCATTCAAGCGCAAAACCGAAGGTACTGAGTTCGATTTTCGTGTTTTGGATAGTGAATGAGAAGCGCACCACTGAGAACTTCCATACTACAAGCAAACGGCCATTCAGTGCTTTTCATTGATGATCTACCTAAGATCATTTCGTGATTTCAACTGTAAAAATGCTACACATATCAGTGTATAATCTATTAGTGACTACAAACAACTTTCGACTTGGATTATTATTCACTTATATAATAATAATAATATAAAAAATAATTCGAGTCAATGAAACATGATTTGAAAAAGGACAGTTATTTGATAAAGCTAATAAATAAATGAAAGTACTTTTACATAATCCATATTGTGTACTGCATTATATACTACATTAAATAAACCGATCACATGATAATACAAATTAACAAGGTTGCTTCTATAATTAAAAATATGTAAAATTTGACGTTGTATCTGTATATTATAAACTAATAGAGGGCTTTATAGATGCTGTTAAATTTTGTAGCATTGTCATAACTGAAATCACGTGTCGATCTAAGCTAGACCACCATTTAAAACTTCGAAGCACTGGATGGGCATTTCATCCTAGTATCGGACTTTTCAGCAATGTGCATCCACGATTCTGCGCAAGGTAGTCGAACCCAGGATCTTCGGTCTCGCGCACAAACGCTTAACCTCTAGGACACTGAGCTGGTCGATATCCAACAGTGACTAACTTTAATCGGTCTATGATCTTGCGCAACCTTTCATTCAATTTCTGAAGGGGACAGGTGTCTCACATCCGACACGAATTGGACTCCAATGGTCTTGAAGCTAGTCATTAGTGAACACACGACTATTAGCAGCATGGAAATTGGTTGAAATCACGAATTGATCCACTGTTAGCCATCATCCATCTTTGCTTATAATGCTTGTGACTTAAACAATATCAAGGCAATTCGTATAAGATGCACATATGTCAATAAGTGACTGATCAACTGCAGTCCTAAATATCAATGGGAAGTTTCAAACAAACAATACACAATGCACTCTTTACAAAATCTACACACACACACACAGCATTTCAACCCCACTACTTCAGATTACAAATGTACACATTTTTCATATTCATCACCATACAAATAAACACAGTGATTTGTTATACAGAATAACCTTGACCAAAAATAACTTGACACGAACATATTCAAACTTTCCATGACCTTGTTTCCATTAAAAAATATTCTACATTGTTTCCTTTGTACCATTTAAACTTGTGTTCATTTTATTTCGGTTATTTATTTGTTTACTCTAAAGGAATAACATACATTGTCACAAAACGTTAGAAGTACAAATTTCTAATCATTCGGATATCATAAAAAGACTGTAATTAATATTAAGAGGCTTGTAGTGGCATTGGACAATAACCACACAGTCCTCAAAGATGAACACGAGACTACTCGGTAAACAGATATTCAATATTTAACGCGAAGAAATACCTAACGATGGAGAAGGCGCGAACAAGGTGTTGAATTGATTGGAGTTGATCGAATGGCATGGCTCGACCATGCAGGCGTGGTCTCTGCTGAATGTTACCTTATATCTTCTATTCATATTAAATATATTGTTTTTTCTCTAGCCTAACCTTGTTCTACATCATGTATTGGTAATTAATACGATACAGTGAGTTGGTATAGTCGATGGTGTGACTTCCACGTAAGATCTTATAGATTAGGCAGTTATATCATAACAAATCTACAAATTTAGGATTAGGTCTATTATTGGAACAGTACTAATATCATAGTAGACCATAATTCCACAGGCTTATGGTTATTCAATTAAAGAATAATTAATCTGTGATCTAGTGAAATATTGATGTGGAAACTTAAAGCACTTCTCATTTTAAAAGATAATATGATTTTGGAATAAAATACGAAACTTGGGATCAGGTCAAGAAGTTAATGACTATTGAACTATATTGAATTAAACATTGTAGTCTTTTGAGATAGGTGACTATGAAATAACTTTAAATGATGGCTAGAGGAATAAGGTAATATAAACAAAGATGGATGATGACTAGCAGTGGAATTCAGGACACGCGTTTCGTCCTATTTGGGGCTCGTTAGTTAAATGCACCTGCATTCCAGAGTTGGAGCTAGTGGTACTGGGTTCGAGTACCAGGGTGAACATTAACTCGGAGATGCAGGTACATCCAACTGACGAATCTCAAATAGAAAGAAACGAGCGTTCTAGATTCCTCTGCTAGCCATCATCCATATTTGCTTATAATGCTTGTGACTTAAGGTAATATTGAGGCAATCCGTGCAGGATGCACATACGTCAATAAGAGACTGATCAATTGCAGTCTTAAACATTAATGGGGAGATTCAAACAAACAATACAAAAGAAATTCAAAGTAATATAAAGTTAAGGATAATCTCAGTAGTGATAATAATCACTTTCTTTAGCTTTCTGTCAATCTAGGATATAAACAATACTTCAAAATTCTTATTATACGGTTTTATACTAATGTTGTACTATTTATATCCAGTGCATTTGGTCTAATGTTATCATTTTGAATAAGTTATATTTTGTTTCATTAACTTCATGTATTGCTGTGTTAGTAAGATAGGTAACTAATTCAGCTGATATACACTTCTCTAAATAGTATATCGTACGGATCTGAAACTTGGATAACTACAACAACCATAATAAAAAAGGTACAATTATTTATAAATGGTTGTCTACTCATGATACTCAATATCTGTTGGCTGGATACCATCAGTAAGAGCCTACTATGAGGGAGAACAAACCGACTTCCAACTGAAGAGAAAATTAGAAAAAGACGATGGAAGTTAATAGGATATACATTACGGAAATCATCAAACTGCATCACGAAGCAAGCGCTAACTTGGAATCCTGAAAGGGAAATGGAAAAGAGGAAGACCAAGGAACACACTACGTTGAGAATTGGAAGCAGATATCAAAAGAATGAATAGTAAATGGAAAGGCTTGTCCACGACAGAGTTCAGCGGAGAATGTTGGTGGACGGCATGTGCTCCTTCACGAGGGTTGATAGGTGTAAGTAAACAGTAAATCATTCTAAGTCACAAACTAGTGTTGCAATGTAGCCCTTAATTAACTAAACAACAACAAGAACATTATATTCTTGTTGTTCCGTTGTGCTTATTACACTTGGATTAATTTTGATTTGATTATTTATTTACTCTGAAGAAGTGGCTTACACTGAGTTACAAAACGTCATAAAATCTAATTTTTCTACTCAATGGGATATTATTAATTTCCAACAATAACCAATAAGACATTCAAATATATTCACTGATAAGTAACTAATCTCACTTTAAACATTTCTAGATTCCATTAATTAACACTTCATATCATTAAAACAACAACAACAACAATAACACAGACACATACAGTAAACTCAATGCCAATCACTCATAAAGATTTGAATACCTATGCAATGGATTACTTTATATGAGAGTATAACCAAGAACATATACAATAGACATTATATAACAATTGTAAAAAACGAAAACTGTCTTACATCCGTCGTAAGTTGTGAAATATGTGGAAATTTACCACAATCTTTCTTTTTATTCAATTTGACTCGTTTTATTACATTTTTAACAAAAGACAATCGATTATGTCTATTATGTTGATACTGATTTAGATTTTCTTCATTAAGTTGTTGTTGTTGTTGTTGTTGCTTACGGTCCAATTGTTGTTTGATACGTTGACGTTGTTTAATCAATTTATGTGGATTAATATTGGTCATTTGATATATCCAATTTTGAAAAGATTCTGAATTGGCATAATACAATGGACCACCATATTTTAATATAAGAATATTGGGAAGTTTTATAGCCTAAAAATGAATTATTAATATTAAAAAAAAATTATTATTAGATTTATGTAGAAATTTGATTTTAACATGGACTGTGATATTTATCAATATCGAAAGTAGTTGAAATATATGCAGGTGACTATCAGGAGTTAGTAGCTAAGTGGATAACGTGATGGCGTTTGAAGCAAACGGTACAGCGTTCGAGTCCCAGGGTGAATATTAACTCTGGAATGCAGGTACATCTAGATGACGAGTAGCAAATAGGACGAAGCGGCGCACGTCCTGGATTCTGCTGCTAGTCACTATCCATCTTTGCTTATAAAGCTTGTGACTTCAGGCAATACCGAAGCAGTCCGCACAGGATGCACATATGCCAATAAGAGACTGATCAATTGCAGTCCTAAATAACAATGGGAATATACAAACAAAGCAGCACCAATTGAACTTATATGCTAACTAGGTTTAATAAAATATCATTTCTACTACAATCATAATCTAAGTATATCAAAAACAGTTAGTTCAAATCACAAAGATAAGTTTTCGATTTAGGAATTCAGTAACTATTAGTGAGCATGGAGATTTGTAGAGATTGTAGTATCTTGACAGTTGAATTCACGAGTCGATTTAAACTAGACTACCATTGAAAGCCTTCAAGCAATAGACGACCATTTCATCCTAGTATAAAACTCCTCAGCAGTGTCCATACAAGATCCCGCAACAAAGGGACTCGAACCAAGGACCTGCGGTCTCGCGTGCGGACGTTTAACCTCTGGACCACTAAGTCGGTTGCCATCCAATCGTGTCAAACTTAAATCGATCCGCGATCTTACGTAACCCTTCATCCATTGTCTGAGGTGGATATCTGTCTCACACTCGACAGTATCAATTAGCCTAGGGCAAAAAAGACTGAAGGCTTTTTGGTCACGGTATTTGCAAGATAGTTCAAATAAATGTATGGTAACATCAGTGATAGTGCCTGTTTGCCTATGTAGAAGTTAAAAGTGTTTGTCATTAAGTCGTCAATTAAAATTTGTAGCAAATAGAAAACTAGGAAAAAACTTGATTAAACTAATTATTTAAGAGAAAAAAGTATGCCATATATCAACAAATCCAATTAGGTAACGATATACGGAACCCAAGTATCATCCATCATAAATTACATACATTTTACGAATTCGATGACTTGATCTAACGACGCAGAAATTAAGCATTATAGTTAGGTATTAATTCCATTGGATAGCGACTAACCTATGATTCTCATATCCACAATAGTTAATATGTTAAATGACTTTATGAGTATATTTATTCTCATGTTACATTGTATATTTTGCTAGAAGAACAAACTTATTCTGCTGAGCAGCTGAATTGTCTTCGAATATCAGTTCAATTAGGGGGAAGGAGGATTGCTATAGATAGTGCGGTCTCATAAACAGTATTTATCGATCGATCGATGCATTTTCTATATTAGTTTAGCAATCCATAAAGAAAATTTTCATTCGATGGTGGCTGGAGGTAGTCAACAGGAAACCCTGGACCCGGGTTTCGTGCTACTTGGCACTCGTCAGCAAGGTGTACCTGTAATCTTAAGGGAACTGGTGCTCCCTGGCGGATTCGATCTCGTATCACCCAGCTTCTCAGTCAGAAACGTTACCACTGTGCTATCCGAGCCGCGACTGACCTCCTGTGGGACTGAGATGTAATCACAATTGATTGATCACTGGGTGGTGACCAATGTCATGCGTGTCTAGTCCTTACTAGTGCAGATCGAACGCTATTGATCATGTTGCAATGTGGTCATTAGTCTAGGTGACTCGACACTACGGGCACTATTGTGAAATTAGATGGTGGTTGGAGGTAGTCGACAGGAAAACCTGGACCCGGGTTCTCATTCTAAATAATAAAAGGCTAGTTCGAAACATAACTAAATAAATGTTCAACATTATATCAACAATAAATTCTACACAAACAAATGTAAAACAGAACGTCAAGTTACGAAATCGATTAAAAGTTGAGTAATAAGCATAGCACATAATCTAATAATAACGTAATAATCTAGTAGTAGATAGGTAACTTACTTCATCATATCTCTTTAAATCAACATAAATATTTGTGTTGGGAATTTGGCCAAGTTCATAATAATATGTCGATTGTGTACGATATAATACCGTTAGTAGGGAGAAACACAAACCAGTTAATAAACCTATCGGGACATCAATAAACACGGTGGCCATGAATGTTACAAGCCATATAAGCTTAAAGATTAAAATCAAAGAAGAAAAAAGAAATTACTAATATTTTAAAAAAGGTATTCAATCGAAAAATGAATAGAATGATACATGAATTTGAATATGGTATGACCGTACAGAAAAAAAACCGTTTGACAAAGAAATTTATATACATCTATGAAAACTACTGATTCAAAATTTAGTAGCCCACATATTCAAATTATGATGGGGATTGTATAGTGTTTAGCTCTTTTTACTTTTCAATGATTTTGTAGTTCTGCTATGTTTGAAGAGATTACGAAATCGCCTAAACTGATGAACCGAACGAAAGATCAGCGACACAAAGATAAACTAACTATTCCGATATTTCCCAGGCACGCTAACTAGAAGAAGATCAGATTCAGAAGAGGGGAAGTATATTACACAAGCAACCAAGAGTACGAACAAAAACAAGCACACAACTTCAGCGTATATATATACAGTGTAGATATGTCCTTAGGAAACGTCACGAAATAGCATATTAAAAGAGATAACAAACGAATGACATTTAGGGTCCTTCCAATTGGGGAATACAATCTGAAGGTAAAAATGGACGCTGTTGCCACGAAAACAAGTAATTCAAATTTCGAAAATAAAATTACAAAAATAAGATGTTCACCAAGTGAGTTCTGATAATCTAGCGTACCCGAAAAGTTCTTACTTATTTATAACGCACGTTATGAAATTGTACAAAATCTCACTACAACATCAAGATGGTTCAGATAATAAATTGTAGAAATAAAAATAATAATTGTAATCTATGCAAAGGAAATAATTGCAAAAATACCCATGTACACCACTTACCATATCATATATGGAAACACGATATAATGCACGTAAATCCATAATTTGTAAGAAGATACTTTCAAGCGATACGACAATAATTGATGATAAGATACACTAGAAACCATCATGAAAGTATGTCAAAACAATAAAAAAACCCAGAAGAATACAAGTAAATAATGAACAGTTGATGGGCAGTAATAATCTTTTAATATAAACACCCAATATATATATATATATATATATATATATATATATATATATATATCAGTCATTCAGTTACAACTTAGAACCAGACACGTATATGCATCGGTCCAAGTTGCCATACCTCATCAGCACAACAAGATGAACACTGAATTCATAGTAGTGAGTTCAATGGTGGTATTATATTGAAGAAACATTGTATATAATGATATAGTACAGGAAGAAAGAATCAGTTGGTAGAAAGAAAGATATAAATCAATTTTAATCTCATCGTTTAACGGAAGACAGAGAGTGCATACACCGATGCCATTGTGATCGATTCTGAGCCATGTCACAGAGAGTCTCCAACCATTGGTTACGATAGTCACGCGGACCCCAAACAAGTATATATATATATATATATATATTATTGACATGCGACTGACCTCACAATTGATTATAATTTAAAACAACTTTCATAGTGGATTATTTATTGATCAAAGTTCTATTCATTATTTTAACAGTTTTAAGATTAACTTATGAGTTCAACTACTAAAAATGACTACAATCTCCACAAATCCTCATTCTGATAATAATGATGTGTTTACTAGTGACTAGATAGATTTCCTAGAATTCTAGTGAGAAGCTGTGACCAATGAAGTTCAATCGGTGTCGGGTGGAGACAGTTATCCACCTCGCAATGGATGAAGGTTTGCGCAAGATCATGGATCGATTGAAGTTAGACATTAACACTATTGAATATCAGCCAGTCCAATTATCTAGAGGACAATGGTTCGCGCACGACCGAATCTATTGGTTTCGAGTCCCTTTAAAGCGGGATCATGGAAGCGCACCATCGAGGAGTCCCATACTATGACAAAATGGCCGCCTACTCCTTCCAGGTTTTCAACAATAGTCAAGCTATAAATTTAAAATGTGTTGAACTTCATAAATTCTGATACAATAAGGTTGATCCTATGAGTTTGTGCTTTCAACTGTGAAAATGCCATAATCTTCACAAGTCTTTCATACTACCGACCAGCTTCACAAATCATTGGAGATCAACCAAGGTTTAAAAGATTTAATCAGTGGTTGTTAAAAGCTGATTTTAACTTCCTTACTTGTTAAGTTACAAATGTCATTCCAAATTCCAAATAATAGAGAATACTTAATTCAATATCATTTAAATGAAAAACAATCAAATAATCTCTTGAGCTTTAAATACAATTTTATATAATTTAGCATAAAATGGTTGTAGGAATAAGTTAATTTGTAGTTTTATATTACATACTGAATTACAGTGGTCTTGAGTGCTGTTAGAGGTATGAGGGCGGTTTTCACTTCCCGGTTGCCCACACCGTGGAAGGGTTCTTCTGGAGGTACCTGAAAAGGAATTTGGATTAAAGGTGGTCTTAGTGACCTGAGAGCGTGACCGCAGTGCCCAAGGGACAACTGCTTGAGGTCGGTCACACACGACCTTGTTATGGGTAATTTTTGTGTTAGCTCCGTACTTGTTGAAACCTTACCGCCGGAGACGGATATCCGTGGGAGAAGGCGAGGTGTGCATTTTTAGGGTCGACCTTTTCTAACCTCACCCCTCCTTGTGGGAAGGCAGCATCGCTGTCATGCTGGTTGTCTGAAGGAAACACCTTACTGCTGTCACACCTCTGTACAGTCAGCATTACGACTTCGCCTTCGGACCTTGGGTTTGTTGCTTTTAGTCTTACCGCTCTTCAACCGACCTGTCTGACATGGTAGGACCTTGAGGAACGGTTGTTCCAGCTAGTATAGCTCGGTTGCTTCATCACGATAGGCAAGCCCGACCACCACGTCAAGGTAGCAACAACGGTCGGGTACATATTGAATATAAATAAGCAACTATTAAAAATAAAAATAAAAACATTGAATAGTTACTTTATTTTAGTAATGGTATCTATACGGTAGGACACATTCATGATCCTATCAGAAACATCTATTGATTAGATTTCTTCGTTTTGGGAACATAAACAATTTTCAAAGTTAAAAATGTTAGACATTGGAATAATGAACTCAAAGATTTCAAGATCTTGAATTCTACTAATAATGAAGTGTTGGATAAGAGTACTTTAATAATAGAGTCTTATACTGAGATGCAACAGCTGTATGCAGTACAAGTTTCATTTGCACTAGATTATATAATTTAAATAAAAGGATAATTCAAAAGAGTTTATGAACTATGGATATGAACAAAAGAACCTTAATGAATATGCTAAATAAATTAAAAAAACTACATACCTTTGGAACAGTTTGTAAAAATTGTCCAATCACAGTAATAACAAGTAAAAGAATACAACAAGAAATCAAAGAAGCAACCTATTCATCCAGTAAAAAAAAGAAGAAAGAACACTTTTGTTTAATAACTGATAAATAGGAATAAATAAATAAATTAGCTATGGTGTAATGATATATGTAGAGCTGTGTATCACATCAATAGAGTGTAATCTCTGTATTTAGGTTGAAGTTTAGCGATATTTATTGTTTGTGCCCATAAATTCCATTTTACGGCCGAGGGTGGGGAAAATCAGCTCTCCCTCTCGAAATGGGCTCCAGGATCCTTAGGGAACAAATGGTGTATAAACCTATTGTTGGTGACCGGCTACCATGGAACCGCATCTCCTCATGTTACTCCACTGCCTTGTGGATTAGGTCTCTAGGTCGTAGGCTTGGGGTATGGCCCTCCTAAGAAAATTACCTGCTTCGGTTTAAGCACTCGGGCAGTATTCCAGCCCTTACACAAATCGAATGGTGAAGTGTAACGCATATATATTTGGTGCATCCTTGTATCAATATTTATGTATTTAAATAAGTAATAAAAATAAACGACTTACGTCATGTTTGCTTAATCCTCTGTGCTGATTAAATTCTATTAAGCCAGGTTTCATACTGGTTGAAACTCGTAGTTAAGGTTTATTTGAAATGTTTGGCAGACCGATGTTAGCTGTGAGACTAGAACGGGTGTCACCTAGCTTCATAGCCTATAAAGTTAATACTTAGCTATACGGTCCAAAACTGACTTCTTGTAGGAATGAGATATCTACAATTGATCAATCACTTAGTAGTGATGACAAGTGTTGTGTTTGTTTAGGCCATTTTATAATGATAAACAAATTTTATTAATTAAAAAGTAAACAAAAAGGGGAATATTTTGAAGCAAATTAATACTGAAATCATTTGGAATATACTTGAAATTCAAAGAAAATGAAGTTTGTTTAGAATAAGTATTTTATTTATCTACAAGTACTGAGGTGTTCCTCAACACAGCTTTGATTAATACATAACTTAAATTTTGACTATGATACCCTTCACCATTTTGATTTCATCATAAATAGTAAGGTGAATTGTTATATCCAGAGCTTAGATTCTTATTATGTCGCTAGAACCCTCTAAGTCGCAAATGAGAAGAGAGGAGACAAGTGAGAAGGAAAGCTTTTCCAAACAATGTCATTTATAGTACAGAACTGTTAGGTATTTATAGTTTTAGTAAAAAAGAAATCATTATTATAGTCCTGTAATCCACATACAGGGGTTATTAGCATTTGTTCGATAGGGAAGCTACACGTAGTTTTGAATAACAATTTTTCTGGTTAGCGTTTTTTTTAGCGAGTTAGTTTTCTACGGGGTGGGGTCGCTAACCCCATGCCCAACCCTCCTCCTTTATCCGGGCTTGAGACCGATAGTAGCCCCCGGAGGGACTCCGAGTGGAGTTAGGAATATTCTTCCAAAAGATGATTGGATGGAACATCTTCGGCTCTTTCTGAGCTTCATAGAGCTTCCTCGAGCTCACCCGTGGACCGTCCGCACATGAATATTTCAGTTTCATTCACTGGCAGATTGATAAGTCAGATATTCCAACAATACGTCCTTAGAACAAGTCGAAATTCAGACTTCTAAGACACACTGACGTCAGGTTATATACTACGTAAGGTTCATAACAATTAATAACGTACTGTACAAACTATATATTCGACCAAATCTAGGTTACTGAAATTTTACAGTAAGTAGTATTCGCATTAATAAAATTAGGTTGAAATTTGTCCATCGGCGCCCTATAATTCATATTCTTGGAAGTTATTATACTTAACACTGCACATTCAGATGCATTAAGCTAGGACTTGATCGTTCATGGGAGCGCCAAAGTCCTCGGTCCCAAGAAAATGCTTATCTGTAGACAGTCTGCGCAAGACTAAACAAAGGAAAGTAATGACAGAAGTCGACAACAACTGAACAAACGCAGAGAAAGTCAAGACATTTGCTAAATATACAGAAGCAAACAATCGAGTGAAGAACTGTATTAGAGTTGATGAACGGAAAGATATAGAAGACCTGGCAACTACAGCAAAAGTCTTCAAGAAGAGGAAGAACTATATGATAGAATGAAGCTAGCAGAGAAATATAGTAAACTAGAGTGAACGTACAAAAACGGAGAAGGTAAAACAATCCCTGAGGTTTGAAAGCAATGGAACAAGTGAGAAGAGGACAACACAGAACATTTGAACAAACTAGCAAACCCACCGGACATCGATGTAACACGCATAGATCTCTCCATAGATAATGCCCCAACTGGGAAAAAAAGAAACTAGCGAAGCCATTAGCCAAGTTAAGAATGACAAAGCACCAGGACCAGACAGATTACCAGCTGCAGTACTAAAGTCAGAAACAAGGGTAACAGTGAAGGTGCTCCACATTCTCTTTAGAACGATTTAGGGAAGATAACAAGTGCCAAAAGACTGAAAACAATGATGTGTTATCAGGATATCAAAGAAAGATCTTGGCGAAGATGAGAACAACCAAGGGGTCATACTGTTATATCCGAGCGAAGATTAAATCACGAGTAACTTCTGAGACATATTAATTGACTAATCTTATCTATACATTCTAATGGTATAACTATTCAATAATTAGATTATGTATATTTATATTCCTCTTATTATAAGCTTTATTTTGACCTATAGTTTATTATTGTACGATTTACGATTCTTATTCTATGTTCAGTTTATTGACTACTGCTTCGCACGTTCACAGTCACTTTTTGGCTTTATTGTGTACAAATGTTATTTCCTATTTTATGGTGCGTTGCGGTCTGTTTGTTTGATATATAAACACAGTATGTTCTAAATATATGATTGGCATAGTGGAAGCTGGTATTAGTGTTCTGGACTCAAGTGGACGGGCTACGAGGACATAGGAGCAATAACGACACCAGGCTGCTCATACCGGTCGAACGTCATTAGTTTGGCACAGTGCTGAGATTGTATAAGTCGTATTTTGATTGGTGGATAAATCACGTGATAAAAAGCCGGACATAAAGTCACAACACATACTACCATCCGTTCCAAGAATGAAATCTTTCAGTGCTTAATATACAGTAATCTTGATAGTCTTTTGAAATTGTTTTGAAGTTACTTTATTACTGAGTAGAAGAAACTTGATATATTACAAACAGGTAAGAAAACTGGTATATCATTACAGAGTATCGTCTAACCATTTATAACATTGTTACATTACTTGTTTATCAACTTAACTACCAATAAAATTCAATTCTCTAGAAGTGTTTCTAATCCTGAAACATTATAGGTTATTAAGGTAGCTGATGAGAGCTATTAATATGAAATACAATAAGTCCATAATGTTCCGTCCAACTCGTTGTTGTTCACTTTTAATATCATAAAGGGGAACTGTGCGTATGTGTGTACGTGTATTTATATGCGTCAAACGTAGCACTTATATAGCAGCTCTCAAATGTTTATAATTATAGAAATTACATATTGACTTGACAGGATAAAGCATAAAAATGACTAACTTGAGAACACATTCCAACGTTACTAGCAACTGAAGTCCGAGCCAAAGCACCAGATGAGGGTTGACAACGAAAAAATCCAGATATTACATTGGACAAGCCTAGTGCATTCAGTTCCTGTTTTGTAAACATAAAAACACACACAGAGATCAACTATTATCTGTATAACCCAACACAATACAAATACGGGGGTAATTTTTTGCCAATTATACAATCCTACCTACCTATGAATAATTATCACTACACTGAACATATATTGATTTATGATGTACATTAAATGGTGTCATCAAGTTACAACTTTCCACCTCACGAATTGACCATAAAGCACTTAACACAGTCATGTCGCTCTAGTATGAGACTCGTCGACAGTGAAAGCCAACTTTCGTGATCACGCTAACCATCACATCCTAAATGTTCAAGTTCCGTGACGAGCATTTAACCTTCAGACTACTGAATCAGTATCCAGTAGTTTATAATTTTAACTCATTGAAATTCCCGAATATTATCATTGGTGATATCTGTCTCACGTTCGGAATGGTGAAGTCCAGTAATCAAACAGGACAATTATACAACGTTTCATGATTTTCAGCGGTTTTCTAACCAAGGTTTAAACATCACGTGAAAATTTAGTCTTGTAACAATTATATATGTGTACTTTACATTTAGTCCAACAGTTAGGTTGTATAGTTTTGGTAAAAGTAGCTCCACAAAAATAATCGATCTACATAAGAAGAATTTAGGATGTAGTTTGTGTTCGAGGTTGAATTAATAATTCGGATGAAATCTTGAAGTAGATATGTCGAATTTTGTAAATAACTGCACAACTCGTACATTATTGTGTTAAACTATTTCAAATACCAGATACATAAACTAACAATCCACATTCACATTATGATCAGGTTATCATCTACCTACAGAATTTGAGACGTAAAATACAATATAACTTTTAGTCATATTTGTATTGTACTCCCCCCCCCCAAACGGCTCTTAATACAACCACCGAAAATTGAGAATTTCCATTTATCTCAATCTAGATTTTCCTACGTGGCTTTTTAAGTTGAGTTAACTGGAACTGAAGTTCGGAGAATTTATTTCTAATTTACTTACTTAAATACATAAACATTGGTACAAAAAGGCACCATGTAAATTATTTGATATATGTGAGGGCTGGGATATTTTCCGGTTACCCAAACCGAAACAGGTGGTTTTCCTAAGAGGTCAAACCCAGAGCCTTTGACCTAAAGGTTTAATCCACAAGGTAGTGGAGCAACGTAAGGAGATACAGTCCCATAGTATCTGGTCACCAACAATAGGTTCATACGTTCATTTGTTCCTTTAGGATACTGGAGCCCATGTGCACCATTGGTTTGGAATCACGGTTTTCCAATTCCCCTAGGTGGATTCTCCGTGTCCACCAACCCGGTTAAAGCGCCAGATATTCCCTTTTCGTCCTCTTAATTTCGTAAACACCACCAACACCGCGAGAAGGCAGTGAGTAGGACTTCACTGCCAGTGGTTGTATGCACGTGGTCATGTGAGAACATTTCGAGGAGATCTGACTCTCCTAACTCTCGGCCGTATCAGGGAATTCGGTGGCAATTTCAGAGAAGCAACATGTTTTTTTTTCGGTGTCATTTAAAAACAACGAAATTATTCACAGCAATTTATAAGTAGCACAGATCAAATCGATATTTTTTTTTGAAGAAACACAACAATAAGATAATATAAGTGGATGTTCATTATAATTAAATAAATTTATAAAAAATAAACAAATACTGAAGTCACATGGTCTAATTCTATCAAGTAGGCAAATGAAGATCGGATGATCAGCATAATCATATAGATATGGATATTAAAGCTAAGTCAATACAATCATTTACTGTTGTAAGAATAATGTCAAAACTTTTAGTTTCAGAAAAAGAAATAAACAAAGCTGGTTACAATAGACTGATCACTAGGTAATAACCAATATCATGTATGTCATATCCTTTTTTAGTACATATCGAATTTTATCGATCAAGTTACAATGTAGTCACTAGTCTAGGTCGCTCGATATCGTATGCACTATGTTGAGATGTAAAATGGTGTTGGGAGGTGGTCGACAGGAAACCGTGAACCTAGGTTTTGTACTATTTAGCACTGTGTATAACTTAGTGATACATCGGTGAGACTAAAATTTATGGACAAACCAATCATGTATAAGATAACAGGTCTCGGATTTTGGCGCGAAATTTACTCGTCTATTCGGCTAAATAGATTCATGGCATTACAGCTTATGTCAGTTCGTGATGAGAACCATAAGTATAATTTCTAACCTTAACCATCGGTCAGTCAGTCAGTAACAACGTGGAACTTCATACCTACGTACATCGGTTCGAGTTGTCACACCACATTAGCACAGAGATACAGTTGTCGACTCAAATTCCGTAGTGGTAGAGGTAGTAAGAGTATAAGCAGTAATCGGAAACATTAGGGTTTGAAGATGTTATTCAAGGAGTATAATCGAGTGAAATAAATTTGGAAAGAGAAAAAAGGGAAACGAAGAATTCAGAAGATTAGAATTTGGGAGAACACAAAGATTGGATGCATTTGCACCATTGCAAACGATTTTAAGCCATGTCACTCAAGGTCTCTAAGCGTCGGTTGCTATCGTCTCTCGGATCTCAACCAGGTAGTCTAAACCTACCAACATGATTTCATGGATTTATACCATGTTTTGGTCTGGCCGCCCCTAGCTTTCTTCAAACCTACTCCTATACCACTGAACATCGCACGTCGAGGTAGTCGGTCGTTGGGCATACGTAACACGTGTCCCAGTCATCTCAACTGATGAAGTTTCACTACTTCATCAATTGATTTTCCATCCTTACCTAGTACCCGTTTCCTAACAACTGTAGTACTTACTTGGTGGTACCAGGATATACGAGCAATGTTTCAAAGACACCTATGATCGAATAATTGTAACCTAAGAGTATCGACTACTCTCACCGGCCATGTTTCACTGCCATAAAGTACGACGGAACGAACTGCGGTGCAGTAAACACGTCCTTTGCTTGGAAGACGGATATCTCGCCTACTCCATAAATGACGCAAATCGGCAAAAACTAGTCGAGCCTTGTGTATCAGTGCTGAGATTTCGTCACACACTAGACCACAATGGCTGATGAGACTCCCAAGATAAGTGAAGCGGTCAACACGCTCAACCATCAACTGTAAATCGTAATTATAATTCTTCACACATGTCTATAACCCCCATTTGGTTCTGGTTACTAGGTAGACGCTCTCAAGGTGAATCTGGAGTCGCTCAAAGGTCGTCCATAAATTGTAGTCTCACCGATACATCAATTGTAAATACATTCCAGTTGCGGCCTGGATAGCTCAATGGTAATGTCTCTGACTGTGAAGCTGGCCAACAAATAATCGAATCCATCTTGATGAAGAGTGCCAAACAGTATGAAAACCTATATCTAGGATTTCCTGGACTACCTCCCACCACCTCCATACAAACTTGTTGTCATCTATATTGGAATCAAAGGATTTGTGTTCGATATACGATAGAACAAGTTTATTTTATTAGACAAGGTTATACATGGATTCTTGAATCAGTAGACAAGTGATACTATCTTAGTTTTGGGCTCATCTTAATACTTTAAATCTAACATAGAACTTTGGGTTTCGCGACGAGTGAGATCTCCTCATTTGATAAGTGCAAGCAGATTGTATATTGAAACATGAGTTACATTTTAATTCTTTTCGAATGCTAACGATACTTTCCAATTATTGAAATCAAAATAGATGGTGTAAAATTTGAACCTATAACTAAACCCATTTTGAAAAAAACTGATAGCTTTTTAATGACTAAATCATTATTCTTTGAGGAACTTTAAGTTATAACAAGTGATTGAATGTATTCAATATATAATCGAAGTTTTCATAAATGATGATTTTAAAAAGTAATATATGAATAGATATTTAAATAAAACATACTTGAGTATAACCAACATTATAACCACCTTTCTTTGCATATAATTTAACTAAAGAAATTGTTGTAGCTAATGAAACAAACGATACAATGATTGATTCCATTAAAACTTCTGGTACTAGTCGAATATCCGGTAATACAGGTGATGGTAAACTTCAGAATATAAAAAAAAATAAATTAAACACTATTTTAAGCCAAAAGTGAAATATGTAACTTATGAGTTAAAGTTAGTTCATAGTTATATAATATGCTCTTGTGGGTAAGGGTAATTTTATATTGGTTTTTCAAGAGAATCAGACTTCATCCAGAATTTCGCGTGACAACTCGAACACTACAGCACAATCCTGTTTATCAGGAGAGCCAGACACCTCCCAAGCAGTACAGCTCAGTCCCGCTTCACAGGAGAACCAGACATATAGGCTTTAACGCTACAATCTGAATAGTACAGCTCAATCCTGTGGCGCAACCATACAAGTATCATACACCCTGGTGGACCATTCGCACCATTCATATACACATTCACATCACATGTATAATTATTTCGATCAATGATGGCGTGAATCAATTATGCACAGCATGAACTTGCCAAAGTTGACCTATTCCGCTTACACGACAGTCAACCCAATAATGTTAGCAATGGCGACATGCCTTACAATGTCCTAATGACAATGGCCCTTGAAAACACTGAAAAGCAACCAGCAGTTTAAATGAAATCGGTTAAGCAGCAAACCAATTTTGTGCATGAATAGTCAGCAAAACTTGCCAAGGTAATGCCGAACCATCCATAATATGAATGGCGAACCTCCAGTCTCATATGAGACCTTCAGCTCTGCATAACAACATATATAATATGTAACTTGTTACCGAAACATTTAAATGAATACATTAAAACAATGTAATGCAACTCCTTTTAGAAGTACAGTGTTATACATTCAACTTTAAATTATATTTTATGTAAAAATTAATTATAGTATTTAGCTGCTAAAACCAAAGTGGACGAAGAATGAGGTTTGGAGCCTATAACCTTAATAGATTAAAGAGGCATAAATATATCATATGCCTAAACTTACTTCCTATTTTAAGGTCAAAGAGCAAATGACAAATTATAAACATAGTATGCTATTTGAAGAAATTGATTATGCACTTGATTAAGGTCTCGTATTACGTGTCCTTATCTCTTAACAGGAGGAATAATCGTATACATATTTATGATATGTGTGTATTAAAATTAGTTTCAGTAATTAGATCTCCTAATAAATCACAGTCATCATAGTAGGTTTGGTTTAGTGTAGTATATGTTGTAACCATATCAAAGAGTAGAATATTACAGATATTGTTATTGAAATTTCAGGCATTTTTATTCATTCATATACACCTTATTCTGAAGTTACATGCAGAGCAGTTTAGTGAATTAGACTGTTTCTAAGTTCATATTCTTCTAGCATATCATATTCTCCTTACTTATATATCTGGATTAACAACCCTATTGAAAAAAAATATATATGGAAGCCATTTTTAAAACTATAGGAAAAACAAAAGATAATTTCATAGAGATTTCAATCTATTGAAAGATCCGACAGAATAACAAGATGAATAACACTTACAAACTTGAAGATTTGAGACTGCACAAAAGAAATTAGACCATCAAGTTACCATAGAATGATACACATAACTAACTGTAATTAATTTGTAAAAATGTCAACTTCATTCAATGCTACTATTGATAGAAGTGGTTAACTAGCACATTTCCAGTTCATTATATCCATGTGGTGAACTTTTCAAATGATTACTAATATAACTAACTCATATTATCCTATTTTACAAAAATCAACATTCAAATAGGATTGGTTAAACACAGGATAGTTTTGATTGTTAAATAGATATATATTTCTTTGATGATTTTAATTTTGTTGATTACCCTGAAGAAGTTCAGATAAGTTAGTTGGACGAAACGTTGGAATTAGTTAAATTTGATTTGAGAGAAAGAAATATCTCAGTACGTTGTTACTGACTGACTGACTGACTGACTGACTAACACCTTAACAATTTACATAGTTCAAATAATCTTACTGGGTAATTTCTTTAACCTTTAGACTAACCAGTAAAATTACATAATCACTTTTTTTTATTACAATTTTAGGTTGTTTGTATATAAGAAAAAAGGGGATATTCTCACTGAATAACAATTCATTACAATTACAGTTTAGAAATTGTCTTTTAACATTTTTGCAGATTAGTGAAACATGAACTAAAAATAATAATAATAATAATAATAATAATAATAATAATAATAATAATAATAATAATAATAATAATAATAATAATAATAATAATAAGAAGAAGAAGAAGAAGAAGAAGAAGAGGAAGAAGAAGAAGAAGAAGAAGAAGAAGAGGAAGAAGAAGAAGAAGAGGAAGAAGAAGAAGAGGGAAGCAATTATATTTGCTATCGATCCTTATGTTCTAGTTTCAGATAATAAGAACTAGTTTCTTTCATCTTTTCAAATTTATTATTCTGATATATCAGAAGGGAATTTGTGGAGATTTTTCAATAGTTGAAATCATGAGCCAATTTAAGCTAGACTATCAGGTAAAACCTGAAAGCATTGGACGGCAGTTTTCTTCTAGTATGAAACTTCTCGGCAGTACGTATCCACGAACTTATTTAGAAAAGTTCCTTAAATCACAGCAAAAATACTTCACATAAAATGGAATCCGAATTGTCTGAATGATAATGAGGGGTTCAGGTACAACTTAACCTGTATACAAAACCTCTCATCCACCAAAAGTGTCAACACAAATATGGTGAAAACGTTTTTTCGCCACATCAATATATGCGATTTTTAGAAACTATAGACTTATGAATGCAAAAGATAAGTCTTTGAAACAACACTGCACACATGACAGTAGAGATGATAAACTGTAGGTCTCAATATCAATAACGTGCAAATAAAACATTCACAGATGAAATATATATCTGCTCCAAAATTCAGTAGCAATGATTTACTGGATAACACTATGACATTTGAAGTGAAAGTTACTATGTTAGAGTCACTGTATAAACATCAGTAATGGGATGAGGTTGGTACATCCAGCTGACGAGTGGCAAATAGGACAAAATCAATATCCTGATTTCTGTTGTTAGTCACTATTCAACTTTAATAAGAACCTTACAAATAACGTCAATAACAATGTATATTACCACATATATAAACACAAAATATATTTCATTAAAACACACCCTACAGGAATTTCACCGACAATCGACACCCCATAACGTTGATTTAATAGACCAAATTTTGATATAACAGTACCAGCAGTAAGCTAAAAAGATGATAAATAGGTTATATCAACCATAACAAAGATATGATGAAATAGTCATTTAATATCTTACTCTTAATTACACTGACTACATAGATTTCACTAAGTTTAAGAATTTCCAATATATGGATGAAGATGTTCCGGTGGAGAAAATTTTCTTTTTAACGATATCATTTTCTAAAGATGTACAATCGTATGTAGTAGTTTCCATGTAAAATAATGGAGTTTTATAAGTATCATCAAAGACAATCAAACTTATTCAAATAGAAGTCAATGAAAATGAAGTGATGTTGCACAATATAATCAAGATTATCCAGAGAATTTATGCATTGAATATAATAATTTATAAATGGAAGTGTTATTTCAATGTAATTAGAGTTTTTAAGTATGACATGAAGAGAGGGTTGCATAATCATTAACAGTTTAAGTTATTTAATAGTTTTGAAAGGAATAAAATGTGATAACCCATAGAATATAAACTAAAGACAACAGTCTACTTTATAAAGAATGAGAAGGTAATATTCAACACCCATATTTTGTGCAATTCAAAAGGATGGAAAGACCATAGAAGAATAAGGGATTGAATATGGCTTTTTTGTACACAGAGGTCGAGTTTGAAATGGTGAATTACTATAGCCTCAGCTGTGTACAAATTCCTCATCCAAACCTTTTTTGAGTCGGTTTTTTACTCTGAGGTGGATTTTGAACGACCCACGTGGTAGACTGTGACCCAAGTCAACCATGTACTCAAGGACAGAGCTATTGATCGGTTTGCATTCCCCTTGAGATGGCCGTGTAGGATACTTACTTATGCCTGTTAACCCTCATGGAGGAGCATAGGCCGCTCACTAGAATTCTCCATCCAACCATGTCCTGGGCAATCCTTTCCAGTTGCTATTCATTCTTCTGGTGTCTGCTTCCAATACCCGACGCATTGTGTTCTTTGGCCTTCCCCTTTCTCGTTTCCTTTCAGGATTCCAAGTCAGTGCTTGCTTCGCGATGCAGTTTGATGATTTCCTCAATGTGTTACCTATTCACTTCCAACATCTTTTCTTAATTTCCTTTTCAGCTGGAAGTTAGTTTGTTGTCTCCCACAGTAAAGCCATGTAGAATAGTGCTCAAATATTCATTTATCGAGTGCACGCTTAGTACGGCATATAAAACCTGCTCCATAAGACGAGGTAAACTTATAAATGCACGTTGACGTGGCCAAGAGCGGCAGTTTATCCTTGAAAGTTCCATGAATGAGTTTCCTGCTGGAGAAAACAGTTCGAATCTCTGCTGAATAAAAAGTATTTCTCAGGGATCTAGACAGTTTGTTCATTAATATATCAACTGCCATATCTCCCCTGAATTCAACGTTCAAGAATAAAATTTACTTCACCAGTGTGGGAGTACTTCTAATTTGACGTATTGCTTTTAGGTTGCCATCAATGAAATTGAATAGTGAACCATTCTCTAAGTTTTCATCCGGCTATATCTAGCCCATCATCAACTGTGCCTTTAGTGCATATTCGTCTGGCTCTTGAAGATAAAGAATGGATAAAATTTCTCGTCCTGCTCAGCGGCAACCAACTCTGGGAATTCGTATACTGCTCTTTATAGGTTGGCTTTCTGTACACCAATCATTGCAGAGACTCACTTGATCTTCATTTCAGTAGAACATCAAGAAGGTGGAATTCCGAATTCAGCTCCGATTCTATTGTGAACGTAACCGAGTGGTAACAATTATAACTGAGACGTATATACAAACAATTACCACTGGAGTAGTGAAACGACGAATGCTAGAACATCATTAGAGACCTGGAAAAAATTAGACACTCATTTCGTCCTAGAACCTAACTCTTCGGTAGTGCGCAACCACGATCCTGAAGACGAGAGTCGAATCCAATACCTTCCGTCTCACGTGTGAACGCTTAACATCTAGACCACTGAGCCAACGGCCAAAAGTGTCAATATACAACTTCAATCAAGCTACGGTATCGCACAACCGTATTCCATTTATTTAGGTGGGTAATTGCCTCACACCTAATATAGATTATATCCACTGTTCATGCCTTGTCACTAGAACTCCGGGAATTTCCTCTCGAAGCCAGTCATTAATGAGCACATAACTGTTATCAGTATAGAGAATTTGTAGAGATTGTTGAGTTTTATTGAAATCATAAGCCAATCTATGTTAAGCGTTCGTATGCTGAACCGAAGGTACTAGGTTTGATTTCAGCGTTCAGAGTTGTGGATGCTCACTGCTAAGGATTCCTATACTAGGACGAAACGACCGTCTAGTACTTCCAAGTTTTCAATGGCGGTCTAACCTAGACTCGTTCATGATTTCAATGAAACTTAACAATCTCCACCACTCTATACATACGTTTACGATTGATTCGATTATGTTCACTTAACATAGCTAAAATGAAAGGCAAGAAGTTTCCCAGATGACAACTGTATCCAAAAAATCGACATTGGGGGCTGTATATTTATAAATTCATAATTATAGCATCATTATTGACCGACACAAGGCATACATGAATAAGTTGTAAGTGAATTAGACAACATTATATGATAACTAGTTCACCATTACATCGATTACGGTCTAAATATATAACATAGGCCAATTTCAAAACGTCATTTAATAAAGGGTTATGAAAATTAATTGTAATGTATTCACTAACAATCAATATAAAAGTATCATGTGAGGGTAATTCATAAACATATTCGGAGATATCTTATATAGGATTAATTGAGATTATAGTCATGATAACAATGATAATAAAGTAATGTGAATATTTAGGAGATTTATTCATTTAAACACAAAAATATTAATACGGAATAGCACTAAAATATACATTCGCCACACAGAATTCATGTGGGGATAGGGTTGATGCCTGGTTGACCAAACCAAAGCAGGAGGTTTTCTAAGGGGGCACTCTCTGAGCATTTGGCCTACAAGCCTAATCCACAAAACATTGGCGCAACATTAGAAAATACGGGTCCTATAGTACCCGGTGAACAACAATAGGATGGATCCTGGAGCCTATGTGCAACATTCCTTTGGAATCGTATTTCTCCAACTTCCCGAGGTAGATCCTCTGTATCCACCAACGCTGTCTAAGCTCTGGGCATTCGCTTATTGTTCTCTCAATTTCGTAAACAACACCCCAGCCGCGAGAAGGCAATAAATACGAAATCCCTGGCAGCGGCTATATGCACATCGCATATGAGAGCATTTGTAGAGGAAAAATAAACACTCCTCACCTATGGCCGTTCCAGGGCATTTGGTGGAAAATGAAGTGTTTCCAAATTAATTAGAATAGTAGTGATAAGAAATGTCTAGTGTTGATCTGAACTCTAATGGAATAAACATAGGGAAATTCGGAACTTCCATAACGTTTTCAGATTATTATTCACACATTTTATTGTTTAAATAGTAGATAACTGTATTATTGAATTTATATATTCCCCTTTATTGTAAGCTTTCATCGGATTTACTAACTATAGCTATATGTTTTATTGTCCCTTAGTTATTGTTGATTAGTCATGTGCTCTTTGTTTCTAATACTTATGGTATAACTGTGACTGTAGTATAAATTTTTAATGGGTATGTTGTATGATCCGTTATTTTAAGTTTATTATGTATGCGTTTTCAGTCATGATTAAATTGAGAATGATAGCCAACTAATCTGCGTTTTCTGATTACTTACTGAGTTAAGAGGAGTGAGAGGACATAAGAGCGTGCTATTCGTTCGTCAGTGTATCAATTGGTAAATAGGTCACTAATCCTATTGAGAATATAGGTGAACTAAACGATTGTTGAAATTCAGATTGATGGATTTAATATGTAGTAATCGACCAGTGTACATAGTGATATATTTCAACGGTTAGCTGAAGTGGTACAAATCCACGATATACAGAAAGAGATAACATCTCAAAAAACCTAAATTTTAGCGAATAGTTTCATAGCAGCTGGGTGCTGAGTTAATGTAATCCAAGCTTTTTCAAGGAAATATAACCAAATATCAAAATTATAGAATATGAATAAGTACATGATTCTCTGGTTAACTGTATACTGAATAGTTCATCCAATCATATTAACAATATTGAAAGTAAGTACTTGCTGTATTGCCTATAAAACATTTGATATGTAAAGAAAAGTATGTTTACAATAACTAATTATCGCCTCTGATCAGTAAATTTTTGATGAGAAAACGAACAATTTTATAGATGATATCAGTTAAACATGTCACAGCATGTATTAAATGAAAAGAAAAGTAAAAACAGAAAGAATAAATATTTGTGTTGACATAGTTGACCGTTCGTGAAATATTCAAATAAACTAAGATTAGAACAAGTTTTCATTGTAGTTCAACATAATAAACGATTAATTAAAATTTACTTATGACTAATTAACAACAAAAAGTAAACATGGATTGGTTGAAGTTAGACATTAACACCGTTGGATACCGGCCGGCTCAGTGGTCTAATGGTTAAGCGTTCGCGCGCGAGACTGAAGGCTGTGGGTTTGAATTCCACGAGCGGGATAGTGAGTGCGCACTGATGAGGAGTCCCATACTAGGACGAAACGGCCGTCATATGCTTCCAGGTTTTCTCTGATGATCTAGCTTCAATTGACTCATAAATTCAACTAATAAAGAATAAACTTACTTTCTCAAACTTACCACAATTAATTCAATTGGAATTGTAAAGCGTAGTATAGCTGAAACTTTTGGATTGATAAAATGTTTAAAACACCATATAATTGTAATACATATCATTGATATTAATAATGTAACAAGATTAGTTTCCTTGACGATATGAATAAAATTATTAATTATCTAAATAAATAAACAAAAATAATGGTGGTCTAACATCAATCGGTTCATGATCTCAATCAAAAACTTAACAATCTCCACAACCCCTAAACGGATACATGGAAATAATTAACTGAATAATAAATTGTATGTGTATGATTGTGTAGGTATGTATGTATGTGCGAGAATTAATCACTGACATTCAGTGTTAATATGTTATATATGAAGGAATAAACAAATAAATAAAAGTGCACGTTCAAGGTTGAAAAACGGTTTCTGAATCATCGATGTGCATGTCAAATTTAATAATCAAACAAATACATAATTGTATTTTACGAGCAAAGATGGATAGTAGCTAGCAGTGGAATCCAGGACGCGCGTTTCGTCCTATTTGGGACTCCTCAGTTGGGTGTACCTGCATCTCAGAGTTCATGTTCACTTTGGGACTTGAACCCTGTACCATTCTCTTCAAACGCCGTCGTGTTATCCACTCAACTACTGGGTCCTGATAGCCACTTGCTTGTGCAGTGGGGTTAATTTAAATTCACTTGGTATTGTTTTGCTTGTATCTTACCATTGAGGTTTAAGACTGCAATTTATCAGTCTGTTATTGGCATATGTGCATACTCTGTGTATGCCTCGATATTGCCTTAATTCACAAGCTTTTATAAGTAAAGATGGATAGTGGCTGGATGGATATCACTCGAAAACTTTCAAACCTTCAACTAAATGTTGGTACTGTGGCGCGTGACACATCAAAAATTTGCCGGTTTAAAAACCGTATGCATACGCATAAACCAGTACGAACAGCCTAGAGTCAGTTCTGAGTCTTTGTTAGTTCTTCTCTCCTAGCCCTACCCGTTTGAGTCCAGAACACAATCTCAGCTTTCACTGTATAAATCATGTATGTCAGACATACGCAGTTTCTATACAGGTGAAAAAGACCGCATCACACCATAAATATAAAATAACAATTATATAAAATCGAGCCAAAAGTGGTTGTGAGTGTATGAGACTGTAACTAATAAATTGGGAATATCTTAAGAATAGTAAGTCATATGATAATGATCAATAGATCAAATAAAAGCTTATAGTAAAAGGAAGGTATTAATTTCGACTGCAACGCGCAAACGGGCACTGCCGAGGAGTCCCAAACGAGGACGAAACGTCCGTTCATTGCTTCCAGGTTTTCAATGGTGGTTTAGCTTAGGTCGACCAGTGATTTTAACTGCGAAAATACTACAATCTCAAAAAATCACCTAAAGTAATTTTCATTTGCTTAGCGGAAGTCGTTTTATGTTACACACTATTTTATTACTAGTTTGTCTTAGTCTAAAATACTGAAGGAATAATTCATGTTTCCGTAAATCTATGTTCTTGCCAGTCACTAATTTTGAGAGGTAACCTCTTGAATCATAGTGAGAAGCAGTGGATCTCAATTACGTTGGGAGGGAGCCAGCCGTCTAATAACAATTGCGTAATACTGTGAATTAAGAATGTAAACTGTTGGATACCAACTTAATTGTTTAAATGTCAAGCAGAAGCAGTTAGCATCAAAGGTCTTTGAATTCGATTACAGTCATTTGGAGAGTTCCATACTAAAACGAAACAAATTTTAATAATTACCTAATAAAAGTCAATAATCATGATGCAGAACTTCAGAAACCCATTTAACTAAAACACTGATCATTGAAATGTACTTTTAAGTAATAAGTCACAATATGTTATTTCAAAGACCAAGATACGTCAAATGAAAACGGTCATATATTTCGAGACTTACATAAAAAACACGGAAAGGTCCTGTAGCACGATTTAATCGTATACCAAATAATCCATTTAATTGACTAGTGAACACATGAACAGCAGATGCACAAGTAAAGCCACTTAATAATGGTTCCGATATATAAACTACTAGTACACCTAGACGAAGAATACCCAAAGCGACCTTGAAACCAGTAATCAGAAATAAGAAAACATTGAGAAATAATAAAAAGAGGATAAAAACTCAGTAACGAGTACATATTAAAGATGAATGAGTAATTTTAGATTTGATAACTTTAAAATAAGAAAAACTACAATAATTTAATAACTACATCATTTTGTATGGCAACAATTTATGAAGTCATTAACTTAAGCAGAGATGGACAGTGGTTAGCAGTGGAATCTAGGATGAGAGTTTCATCCTACTCAGGACTCATCAGCCCGATGCACTCTGCATTGCAGAGTTGATATCCACTCTGAAACTCGAACCTAGTACCGATCACTTTAAGGACTATCGCGTCATCTACTTAGCTACTAAGTTCAGATAGCTACTAGTTTGTGCAGTGAAATGGATTTTAATTCATATGCATATACATCTGGTTGGCGAGTCCCAGACGGAAGGAAACGCGCGTCCTGAATTCCACTGCTAGCCACCATTCATCTCTGTTTAAAGTGATTGTGACCTAATGACAATATCGAAACAATCCACAAAGGAGGAATATATAACAAAATGAGACTGATCATTCGCAACCTCAAACATCAATGGAAAGATGAAACAAACAATATACATATGAATCAAAAGTCACTAACTGTTTATCCGAGTGATGTTACTAGGTGTACACTACATGCTTTTATAGTCTATGTGATAATGATTCAAGATGGATGAAATAGCTAGAAATTAGTCGCAGTGTCGTATACGGATTAATTATTCATCCTACCAGAAATATAAAGTTGCAATATTACTTTATTTCTTTTATTATGCTAGTTCACTCCTTCTTTTGAACCAAATTCTTTAATATTAAGCCTATCTTATAATCATTGATAGAATGAGTATTAGTTCGACACATTCGCTACTTATCTTGCTAGTTGCATCTCGTTCGCTTGATTTGGTGTGGAAAAGAACAAATAAAAATCTGTCCTCGATACTAACTTGGTTACGACTGACTGGCCTACACTTCTGTCGCTATAGTCTAGTGAAATCCACTGGTATTCAGATCAGTTGAGTTAAAATAGACACACTGATATAGGTTCAATCACAGCAAGTCTTCAGGAAAAAAACAATAGTCTAGTTCATTAGTAAACGTGAATATCCAAGTCGAAATTCCTTGTTTGTACCTCTATTGTCATCACCAAGTTACCTGATGGTTAACCTCTGATTTTTTAAAAATATATAAAGGTAAAGTTTAAATCTAATTGCCATTGTAATGAAAGAAGTCTTGGGTAACGTTAACCAATTTATTATTATGTAATATCGCACAGTGCATTTGTAAAACGTGAACATAATACATTAAATACACTAATTGCACATCTTCATCGAGTTTCCCCATACAAACTCTTTTTTTCATTCTTATTTTTATTTCGACTGCACTGTGTTTTCCTTTCTTTTCTCTTTATTTTCCTCTTCTGTTTGTAAGAACTCTACTTTCAATTACTGATACATACTACTTATTTGTCCGTACAAGTAGCATACATCATGCTACAGCTTCTATAAAGCGTAATAAGGCAGAGTTAATTTGTCTGTTGATAAATTTGAATGCATTCATTTTATCCATTGTTTGACACATGTCTAGCAGTTGGCATGTTACCGAAGTTTGTTTTATCCTTAGAGGTGTACATTTTAAGGAATATGTTCAGCAAAATGTATAAAATCCTGATATTTTGCTTTTGTATATGCACATATAAACTGATACATGCAGTTGTAGGTGGAATGTGACGCGTATTTATCTTTGTTCGCGTTACTGAGCATTGCGTTGTGTTCAGTGGGAAAGTACTCTTTAAATACGAATTTCAGCGAAGGGATCTCTTTTCAACGAATTTATTATCAAGCTGTACAAAAAGTACTCTTTACAAATCCGCCATTAGTCCTTGATTGATTCTTTTGGTGACTTCAATCACGTTCGAAACCTAATCGGATAATTATGTTTCGTTTCAAGTTTGTAAACTTTCATCTTAATACGGTATTCAATAATGTATTTCAGTGTAAGCATTTAAGGGCAGCCATTTTCTCGAGGACAACTATGTAATACTGAAAAAACTTCCCCTCGAGCTTCATTTCCTGGCTCCGTGGTAGAGCATTTCCATCAGCCCATATTTAAAGTTTATAGATCAAACTTTTAAATATTGCTGACCCCAGGTTTATTTCTGATGTATACTACGTTTGTCAGGTTTTATCATTTCTTCAAGAAATGGAAAGAATTATTTCATTCACCTTCCATTGTGCATTCGATATCACGATGGACTTTATAAAATTTTCGAGTGCCTCATTTATTTCGTTACAACACACAAAATGTAGTCTCATTGATAGAAGACAGTAATTTTGTTCTTTCAAAATTTTTGACGAAGATATCGTCAAGGACTGGGCTTTCCATCTGTTTAAGCTAGAAATGAATGTGTTTTGTCTATAGTTTTAATAACTGATTGAGGTGAAAATACAAATTATGGACGATCTTTGTGCAACGCCAAAAATAACTTTGGAATGTTCACCTATTTACTAGGGTTAAATGAGGATTATAGATTAGTGTGAGGAATTAGAATTTACAGTTAGACGTTAGGATTAAGAATTAGATTTAATTTTTTCATCACAAACTGACATCAGCTATAATGCCAAAATGATATTTAACCAACTGAGTGAATTAATTTCGCACCAAAATTCAAGACTTGGTATCTTAAATCTGATTGGTTCGTCCATAAATTATCGTCTAGCCAATACATGGTAATTAGCACAAACAATTATCTTCTGTTCTAAGACCTCTCTAAGTTATTTAGTAACTTTGTTTTATGATACTGAAGCTTTATATTCGTTTGAATATTCGGCTTTGAATTTATTTTGATCTTTTAGAATTATAGTGATTTTACACATATATTTATATGTACTCATCAACACGACTTCATAGCATTTATCTGGTTTGATTAGTACTAAGTTGTCAGAATTTTGGAAGTTTCTCAAGGAGTTAAAATGGGCTCTAGTCATGATTTTGGACTGAAGGGATGGTGTAGTGTGGAAATGATTAGCAATGTCAACTAGATTTAATTTGAACTAACCACGTTTGTTTTCATTGAATGACTTTGAGTTAGATGCCTGGTGGTATATGTTTGTATATTTGAACTTCTGTATCAATTCTGTTGGTAGATTTATGTTGAATGAGAAAATGGAAACAAAGAGATAAAGTTTTAGACTAACTTTTCTTCAGTTTTGTTTTAGATAAGTTGAACATATAGGTTGACCTAAATCGTTTGAATATTCTCCAATCATTTTCACAATCATCACACCTTTAGATAATGATGTGTAGGTTAGATTAGCTGTCTTCAACTGACCAATTGTATACAACATACAACGTTGAGTTATTCAACTAGTTTCTTGCATCAACTAGCAATTGAAGATCACCGATTATTTTATTTGAAGAATCAAGATGAAATTTGGTGAAACGATGGAGATTTACGGGAGAAAGGAGAAGATAAATTGATTGAAGAGTTCTGCATAATTGGTTGTCCGAACCTGTGTAGCGTGAGAACCTGGGCCAGATTCTAAACTCCTTATAACTGACCGAGTAATCGGCGTTTATCTAACTAATCACGTTAGTTTCAAGCATGCCCCCTGAATGCCCTGGTACGGCCGAGAGTGGGGAGAGTCCGCTCTCCCTCTCGAAATACTCTCACACGGCCACGCGTATATAGCCTCTGCCAGGGAAGTCCTACTCATTGCCTTCTCGTGGCGGGGGTGTTGTTTACGAAAATGAGAGGACGAAAAGCGAATGTCCGGCGCTTTAACCGGATTCCAAACCAATGGTGCACATGGGCTCCAGTATCCTGCGGGAACGAATGGCGTATGAACCAATCGTTGGTCACCGGCTACCATGGGACTGCATCTCCTTACGATGCTCCACTGCCTTGTGGGTTAGACCTTTAGGTCAAAGGCTCGGGGAGTGGCCCCCTAAGATAACCACCTGCTTCGGTTTGGGCACCCGGGCAGTATCACAGCCCACACACAAATGATGAACTCTATGTCCATGGAAATTACCTTTGTCGCTTTGAAAAACAATCAATTGATTCAAATTATGATCACTACAATTATTGTCATTATTAATACTAATATTATTATTACTACTATTATTGTCATTATTGTTATTATTATCATTATTGTTATTATTTTCCACATTATTCACCTTCTTTTATACTTATACAGCGGCTCGTCTTTGGTGGAATTCCGACTGTATCTAAACGTTCTCGAGTCACTGTCCGGTTGTAAATTGTATGTTACCACCGAATACGAGGACTGAAGCAGATTTTCTGAAACCACGTGCATCATTCAAACTGGCTGCCTTCAACGTTCGCACATTTATGCAGGTCGGACAACAGATAGGGCTGGCTATGTCTTTGGAAAGTCTTAATATCGACGTGTGTTGTCTATCCGAGACCCGTATTCAAGACTCTGGCGAAGTACTACAAATTCGATCTCCATCTGTCGCTTCGAAAAGCTTGTTTTACGTGCGCTTATCCGGGGACCCTGTGGCATCTTCGTCTGGTTTTGCTGGCGTTGGTGTCGCACTAAGCGCTAGAGCTGAGGCAGCACTAGTCGATTGGATCCCCATTAACAGTCGGTTATGTGCTGTTAGATTAGAAAGTTCCATCAAAGTGAGAAGAAATCGGCGTGAGAAACGATGTCTTTTCGTCATCTCCGCCTATGCCCCGACAGATTGCAGCCCGGATGCAATCAAGGATGAGTTTTACCACCAGTTATCAGTTCTTCTCCAGAAAGTGCGTTCGACAGATATTGTAGTACTAGCCGGAGACTTGAATGCTCAGGTCGGGCGTCTAGGCACAGAAGAGAGTCGTTTAGGTGGCCGATGGGGACTCGTTGGTCGCAGGTCAGATAACGGGGACCGTCTACTGCAACTTTGCGCAGACCACAACCTGTTTCTGGCTAGCACTAACTTTCGGCACAGTCATCGCCGATGTGCCACCTGGCGTCCTCCCTCTGCATCTCAAGCCTGGACTCAGATTGATCACATCGCGATCAGCTACCGCTGGCGTGGTTGTGTACAAGACTGCCGCTCCTTTTGGAGTACCTATCTGGACTCTGACCATGCCTTGGTCTGCGCCAATCTTGCCTTACTTTTCAGTGGACAACGAAGTGAACGCCATCAACGGATTGATGTTAGCAAGCTGGTTGCAACTTCTGTTGCAAGTAAGTATCGAACCGAGCTAGCCTCTAGGCTAGCTACCACTCCACCGAAAAGTATAGATGAGCACTGGTTGCAATTGCATGACGCCATGAAAATGGCGGGAACAGTCAGTTGTGGGTTTGCGAAACGTCCCGCTTTTAAGCACTGGGTTTCTTCTGGTTCCTTACAACTCATTGAAGCCCGTCGGTCTACTCCGGGTAACCGTGAGTTTGACCATAAACGAAGGATTTTACGTAAGGAAATCGGGCAAAGCTTGCGTAAGGACCGAGAAGCCTGGTGGTCGATGCGTGCTAATGAGCTGGAAGCAGCAGCTGCATCTGGTAACTGCCGGAAGCTCTTCCAGCTCATCCGAGCCACTGGCAGCAAGAAGTCTGGTGTGAGTGAAACAATCTGCGAGGATGATGGGATGCCAATCACTAACATCCATCGACGTCTTGGACGATGGGCAGAATTTTTCGAAGGGCAGTTCAACTGGCCTGCTGCTCCGGCAACATCGGTCAGACTGTCCTGCCCTCCATGGCCGGTGACGACTGATCCACCAAATGAGGAGGAAGTCCGCAAGGAACTCCAACTCTTGAAGCGTTACAAATCACCTGGCCCAGATGACTTACCTCCGGCTCTTTTTAAAGATGGTGGTGACTTTTTGACTAAGGAATTGACGACGTTGTTTACAAAGGTTTGGGAACTAGAGAGTGTACCAACGTCATGGAATGAGTCGATAGTTGTCCCTATAAAAAAAAAAAAAAAAAAAAAAAAAAAAAAAAAAAAAAAAAAAAAAAAAAAAAAAAAAAAAAAATTTTTTTTTTTTTTTTTTTTTTTTTTTTTTTTTTTTTTTTTTTTTTTTTTTTTTTTTAAACTATTGGCTTCCGTCATTCTTCGTAGGTTGTTCAAAACCCGAGAAAGATTGACTCGCGAGGAGCAGGCTGGGTTTCGTTCTGGTCGAGGATGTATTGATCATATCTTCACCCTCCGCCAAATGTTAGAACACCGCCATACTTTTCAAAGGCCAACAATCGTAGTGTTTCTTGACATCAGGGCTGCCTTCGATTCGTTGGATAGGACTGTTCTCTGGGATTGTCTATTGAAGAAGGGTGTGCCTGAGAAGTTTATTAACATCCTAAAAGCCCTATATAAAAACACCTCAGGCAGAGTGAGGGCATACAACCACCTCTCTCCATTGTTCCATTCGAACAGTGGGGTTAGGCAGGGTTGCCCAATCTCACCATTCCTCTTCAACTTTGCCATCGATGACATTCTGGAAACAGCTCTGATGAATGTAAGTAATGGTGGTGTGGATCTGTTGCCTCGAGAAAGACTTCTCGACCTTGAGTATGCGGACGATATTGTCTTACTGTGCGATAATGCCCAAGGCATGCAATCCGCACTTAATCAGTTGGCAATCAGTGTCCGTAGGTATGGTATGTGCTTTGCACCTTCGAAGTGCAAAGTACTTCTACAAGACTGGCAGGATTCTAATCCTGTACTCACCCTGGATGGTGAGCAGATAGACGTAGTTGAGAAGTTCGTGTATCTGGGTAGCTGCATAAGTGCTGGTGGGGGTGTGAGTGATGAGATCAATGCACGAATAGTGAAAGCCAGAGCGGCTTATGCCAATCTGGGCCATCTTTGGCGCCTTCGTGATGTTAGTCTGGCTGTAAAAGGCCGGATCTACAACGCGTCGGTGAGAGCAGTTTTGCTCTATGCTTGTGAAACCTGGCCTCTCCGAGTTGAGGACGTTAGACGACTCTCTGTGTTCGATCATCGCTGTCTCCGAAGGATTGCTGACATTCAGTGGCAACACCATGTCAGTAATGCAGAGGTTCGGCATCGTGTGTTCGGGCACAGAGATGATAACTCAATTGGTGTCACCATCTTGAAACACCGACTTCGGTGGCTTGGACATGTTCTCCGAATGTCGTCCCAGAGAATTTCACGTCGTGCATTATTTGCCGACTCTGGGACTGGTTGGAAGAAGCGGAGAGGTGGTCAGTGCATGACATGGTGTCGTGGCATGAAAGAAAGCTGCAAAGGACTGGCTTGTGTTGGTCCTTCACGACTCCCTGGCTGGGGTCCGAGAGATGGTGCTACACAGTGGCTAGAGACGTTATCAGATATGGCTCAGAATAGAAGCCAGTGGCGATCCTGCTGTAACCTTCTTTTACTTTCTTCATAAAAAGTGGTTGTGTCTCCTTTACCTGAAAGATTTCTTCTGATTGTACCTCTTCGTCATTACTCTCTTTTTCTTTTGCGTTCCTTAGTTTTTTTTTTTCTCTTCGAATTCCCATTGTTTTGTGTGGCGCATATATATTGGCGCTCTCTTGTACCAATATTTATGTGTTCAAATAATAAATAAATAAATATAGTTTCAAGCATGAAAACCATACAATTCACAAAGCGATTCGCTAACGTTTGTATAGATAACACGTTTCTGTGTTGTTCAAATGTAACAAAGAAACGTGTGTTGATTTCACTAAACAACCAACTTGAATAAGTGGTTAGATAATCTCTAACTGAACGGGAACTTATTGGTGTGATTTTTAAAATAATTTCATACTATTCACAGAACTACTTAAGCAAATAATACTCGTGTTCTCACTAATGACTATCAGATTTGATATGGATTTATCAAAGTTCTGATGGGAACCCATGATTTGTGAGGTTGGTCTGTTTTAGTATGAAGTTATCTTCCAGACATCACCGGATACAAATCAAGTCAAATAGAAATCGTATTTGGAAATAGGATACCAACTCAGAAGACGCTTAATGGTTTTATTCTCGACACTAGACTTATTTGTCGCCAAGTCTGAACCCATACTAACTTCACATTGCTGATCTCTGTATCATGCTCTTCGGTTTTCAGTAGTTTTCCACTTAATGCCAGTTTGCAGTAGAATTAACCGTTTTAGTTAATCCCTGAATTCCATAAATTCAGTGGTATTATAACAGAGGTTTTTGAAGTAAAGGTTTTGTATATTCTGTATTTAAAATGAAAAGAATTTCAATTCGTTATGTTACTTATCTCTTAACATTACAAACAAAAACAATGCAATTATTCAGCGTCCTCCATGTCTCACCCTATAGTACATAACTTAAAGTAAATCCAAATTCCTTTCAGTACATTTAGTTGGAGGTAATTTTTAGCGTTGTGGAAGACTAAGTCCGTAAACACAACATTTTGCTCTTACTGGAAGTGAAGTATTACGCATTTACTCCACTACTGTTCTTCAATATATACACCAAATCTGATTGAACAATACCAATCATTGATTAATAAGGAAAAAATGAAGGAAGTTGAGAATTTTATCATTTATTTCAGAATCAATTGGAAATTAGTAGGAATTTTGAGACAGTTTTCATCACAGATTGATCATTGAGAATTAGGGAGTAGTAGTGCACAGACATTTCATTCTAGATTGGGAAACTACAATAGTGTGCGCTAACCTTATCTCGATTGTTTATATTTATTTATCTGAACACATAGATATTGGTACAAGGAGGCACCAAATACATATGCGCCACACAAATTTCATTTGTTTTGTGTTAGGGCTGGGATACTGCCCGAGTGCCCAAACTGAAGCAGGTGGTTTTCTTAGGGGGCCACAACCGGAGCCTTCGACCTAAATGTCTGATCCACAGGCAGTGGAGCAACGTAAAGAGATGCAGTTCCGTGGTAGCCGGTAACCAACGATTGGTTCATACGCCTTTTGTTCCCGCGGGATACTGGAGCCCATGTGCAGTGTTGGTTTGGAATCAGAGTTTTCCTATTCCCCTAGGTGGATACTCCATATCCACCAACTCGGTTAAAGCGTCAGAAATTCGCTTTTCGTCCTCTCAATGTCGTAAACAACACACCCACCACGAGAAGGCAGTGAGTAGGACTTCCCTGGCAGAGGCTATATACGCGTGGCTATGTGAGAGCATTCTGAGAGGGAGAGCGGACTCGCCGTACTCTCTGCCTTACCAAAGCATTTAGGGGCAATCTTATCTCTACAATAAACCAAATAAGCAACTATATCAGGAGCAACACAGCTATCATTGAACTTACTATACGTACATCATTCTATACCACGGATTGAATGAAGGTAGTAATGTAAATGGCGCTTGCTACGAAAACTAAAGTCACTAATTTTGGTTCTAAGCAAGAACGTTCGTGGGCGCTAATTGATGAATTCCCGTTCACTTGTCTTTGGTTTGGAATAGTTCCCTAATTCACACAAATTTAGAATCTCAAAAAGGAATCAGTTAAATAGAAAGAAAAATTGGGATTCCATTGGTGATCAAGTATTTGAAATTCATAGGAATAGATTTTTCAATGTTCACTATAAAATATATACGTGATAATTATCATAAGATTATAAATATATATATTACTTAAACTCACTTGAAATAATCCAGTCAAAATACAAACTGTTATAACAACAGTTAAACGAAAATCATCTATTTGTTTTTCATTAAAAATATCATATTTTTCTAAAGAATGATTGTTTACATCGAATAATGATGTTAATCTATCAACAGGATCAGCCGTTAAAAGTGAAACAACAGAAAATGTACCTATAAAAGTATAGAATTTCAATGCATTTTATATGGTAAATAAGTGTTATTGAAAAGAAAATTTATTTATATTCCATGATCTTATAAATCGTCAAAAAATAAAATATCTTATAATCGGATTGGTTGAAGTTAAACATGAACACCATTCGATGCCAGCCAGCTCAGTGGTCAAGAGGTTAAGCATTCGTGCGCGACACCGATAGGTTTTGGGTTCGAATCTCGCGCACTGCTGAGGAGTCTTTTACTAGGATGAAACGACCGTCCAGTACTTCTAGGTTTTCCATGGTAGTCTAGCTTCAACTGACTCATGAATTCAATTATCAGATTATGCATGTAATAATTATGCAATGGCTAGGAGTACAAAAAGGATGTACAACAAAGACATAAAGACAATTGGAAATGTTTGTAAAAAAAAACAACCATTTAGAGTATGAAGCAGTGAAAAAAATGATCAGAGTGAATAACTTCTTATCGTGTCTTCTAAGATCTAGTATTCCTTAGACATACCTATTTTACTTAACTAGTCCCAGATTAAAGCACGATTTGGAAACAAACAAAAATATATTTCAGAATTCAAAATAATATAAGTTGATGTAGTAAGGACGTTCATGTATTTATAAAATTTACATAGGAATACTCCAGTGACTTTTCCGGATCATTTGGTAGCGCTGATTAGTTTAATAATGAACCAATCATTAGCTTTCAACTACAATATGAATGAATCACGATTCCATCCTGTTAACAGTTTTAATCCCTGTTTCAGTTTGGTCACCTGGGCAGTATTCCAGCCCACACACAAATCGAACGATTTATGTGGCGCATATCTATTTGGTGCCTCCTTGTATTAGGGAATGATGGTAAATCAGTTGATGAGGTTATGAATCTTCATCGACTGAGATGGTTGGGTCACGTGTTACGTATGCCTGAACACCGACTACCACGACGTGCAATGCTATCCGGTATTTGAGATGGTTGGAAGAAAGTTAGGGGCGGCCAAACCAAAACGTGGCATCAGTGTTTGAAGACACTAACTTCTAGTCTGAGCCGTGTTGGTAGATGCAGACTACTTGGTTGGGGTCCGCGTGACTTTCGTAACCAATGGTTGGAGACTGTTGGTGACATGGCTCAGAATCGATCACAATGGCGTCGGTGTATACACTCTCTGTCTTCCCTTAAACTAAGAGATTAAAATCACTTCATATCTTTCTTTCTACGAACCAATTCTTTCTTCTTGTAGTATATCTCTATATGCAATCTTTCTCATATATATTACCACCTTTGACCTAACCACTGCTATGAATCCGGTGTTCATCTTGTTGTGCTGATGCGGTATGGCAACCTGGACCGATGCACATATGTGCCTGGTCCTACTTTGTAGCTGACTGACTGACTGACCTCCTTGTACCAATGTTTATGTGTTTAAATAAATAAATAAATAAACAATTTTAATCACCAGATCGTGAGTTCAACGGCTGGCTGATGTATTCGAGCTCAAATAGCTCAGTAGTATATCTAACTATCATTAAAAAAAAAAGTTGTCGCTTAAAGACGGGTTAATTAATTTCTACTAGATAAACAAATCATATTCATTAATGAGTGATTATGAACTAACAACTTGGTTACAAATCATTTTATAAAGTTCCAAAATCAATCGATGAAAAGTCTAACATAAATAACCAAATGACATAAACTCTATTATAATTTTTTTAAAAAACAAACATGATAACATAAAATGTAACCATGATATTAAAGTTATTTAATTGATCCTTTTATGTAGGATTATACTTTCAAAAGTAGTATTAAAACCTTTATGATAGACGAAATTTATTTTTTGTCAAATTTTCTATATTTAAAAATCTTAATGACATCTATAGAACATGAGTGATGTATACCTTTGATCGGTTATAACCATCCCACTGAAATTTGAGTATTGAATATAATATAATACACAAAATGGTAAGTAGTAATTGAATTAGTATTCATAGATATATCATCTATTTTATATTGACGTGACTCAATTAAATAAAAAGGGTAATGTTCAAAAGTCCCAATACTAACCGTTTTGAAAAGAAGTAAAGGGTATAATATACTTATTTTCCAGGTATGAATTCGTACTCGACTTTAAAAAACATCACTTATATATGAGGACTGATGCAAATACTCAGCTGTTAAAATCAAAATTTAAGAAGAGCATCACATTTCAGGTCTATAGGTTGAATTACAAACCTTTTATCATTGACCTGTTGTTCAGCAAGAATATGTTACAATCGGTATAAGTGAACCATGGAAAAGAAAGCAATACTGAGTAATTATCACGAAATGTTGAGTATCAGACAAAGTTCATGGAAGTCACAAGGTCGAAGCTCATTCTAACAATCAGACCAACAGTTAATATAGGTACACGGAAAGTCCATACAATGTGGGGGATCTGGAGGATCAGTCAAGTAGCTATGGAAATGAGCAGATACAACATGGAGGCTTTCGGCATAAGTGAAACCAATTAGACCCAAGCTGAATAGAAAACATTAGATTCGGAAGAGAGGCTGTTGTACTCAAGTCATCAAGAATAAAATGCTTTGCACACACTGAGTTGCACTGATGATGTACAAAGAATTAAGAAAAGCATCCATAAGATGGAAATCTCATGTATCCAAAATCGTGAATGTATCCTCCAAAACAAAGTAGAGGACCACAATGAATTTTATCCAATGCTATGCCCCCACCAATGAAAGTGATGAGGACAATAAAGATCAGTTTTATGAGAAGCTACAGTCGATCGTACAGAAGTGCTCAGGAAACGACCTGACAACCATGATGGAGGACCTAAACGCCAAAGTCGGAATGGACAACACAGGGTACGAAGATATCATGGGACGACATGGACTGGCAGAAAAGAACAAGAATGATAAGAGATTTACAAACTTATGTATATTCAACAAAATAATTGTAAATAGCATTATATTCCCCCACAAACTTATAAACAAACGTACATGCGTCTCACCGAATCACATTACACAGAACAAGATCGATCATATTTGGATCACAGAGTCAGATCCATGGAGGATGTGAGAACAAGTAGAAAAGCTGACATGGTCTCGGATTATCACCTGGTGCTTGACACGATGGAAATTGAAGCTTAAAGAGCACTGGACAACTGGAGAAACAGCATTACAAAAGTTTAAAACAGCCTTCGAGATAATGACAAACTGAGAGAATTCAAAGTACCACATAGCAACATGTTCCAAGCTTTACAAGATCTACTCAAATGACAGGAATCTACTATGGAGAACAACTGGACACATATCAAAGAAGCACTAACTTCAACGTGTTAGGAGGTCCTGGACCGCAAGAAGCGTCATCATGAGGAAAGATCTCTATCGAAATCATGGGCCAAATTCAAAGAAAGAACAAGAAGACAGCAATAAGCAAAAACTGAACAAGAACAATGAAAGTCAAGGTACAAGCTGAATACACAGAAACAAACGAACGAGTGAAGAGCGTTAGAGCCAACAAGCAGAAATACGTGGAAGAGCTAGCAAAGACAGTAGAAAAAGCTTCAAGAGAAGGTAATATGAAACAATTATATGACACAATTAAGAAGCTGGAAAGGAAATATAGTAAACCAGAGAGACTAGTCAACAACAAAGAAGACAACCCAATCACTGAAATTCAAAGACAGAGGAACACCTGGGTGCAACACTTCGTGGTGCTCTTAAATAGACCAGCCTCATTGAATCCACCGGATATCGAAGCAGCACCTATAGACCTTCTTATAGATAACACACCAATGATTAAAGAAATCAGCAAGACCTGAAAATATACCAGTCGAAGCACTAAAGTCAGACACAGACGTAACTTCATAGATAATCCACGTTCTATTCAGGGGAATTTGGGAGGAAGAACGAGTGTCAACAAACTGGAAATAAGGACACTTTATCAAGATCGTCACCAAAGAAAGGGGATCGTTTGAGCACGTATGAGAACTAGAGAAGCACCACTTCACTATTAGTACGAGGAAACGTTTACAACAGGGTGTTACTGAACCGGATGAAAGATTCAGTAGAGGCCCAACTTTGAGATCAACAGGTTGGATTCCGTATAGATCGGTTGTGTCCAAACCAAATTGTGATCATGAGAAAGAGTTTGACAATGTGTATGGGAGAACCTTAGTAGACAATATGGTGTATCTGAGAAGATCATCGAAATCATCCGGGATTTATACGACAGACCACATTGCAAAGTTGTGCATGGAGGACAGCTAACAGATGGATTTCAAGTGGAGACCAGTGTTTGACAAGGCTGATTACTCTCACCTTTTATCTTCCTACTTGTGATCGACTGGTTTGAGTAGATCTCCACAACTTAGGAGAAGCATGGAATACAATGGACAGACTGGGTAGAGCTAGACGATTTGGACTTTCCGGATGACCTAGCTATACTACTCCATGCACAGAAACAAATGTAGGTGAAGACAGCCAGTATGGCAGTAGCCTCTGCATCAGTAGGCCTCAATATAGGCAAGGGAAAAAGTAAGATACTCAAATACGACACGGAGAACACCAACCCAGTCACACTTGGTCGAGAAACTCTAGGACAGGTGGATACTTTTACGTACCTGGATGCAGATGTAAAGATAAGGATTGTTAGAACAAAGACAGCATTCCTACAATTGAAGAACATATAGAACTCAAAACAACTGTCAGCCAACATCGAAATCAGAATCATCAAAACGAACGTCAAGACAGTTCTACTGTGAGGAGCTGAAACTTGGACAACTACTGCAACCATCATTTAAAATGTATTGGTATTTATAAACAACTCTCTACGCAAGACATTCAATATTCGTTGGCGGGATACCATCAGCGAAGACCTACTTTGCGATAGAACAAACCAACTACCAGACGAAGAGATGAAGAAAATGTGCTGGACATGAGTAGGACATAGATTACGAAAATTATCAGATGGTATCACGAGGCAAGCACTGACTTGGAATCCTGAAGAGAGACTGAAAATTGGAAGGCCAAAGGACATACTGCATCGGGAATCGGAAGCAGACATCAGAAGAATGAATAGCAACTGGAAAGGATTGTCCAGGACAGAGTTGAATGGAGAATCCTGGTGGGCAGCCTATGCCCCTCCATGAGGGGTTATATGCATAAGTCAGTCGACTTTTTCTTTACAAACAGTCTAAACGAAGTTACGCCCATTCGTTGTTTGAAAACTCAGTCTCATGAACTTATGATGAATTCCATTTAAAAAGCTTATTTTCACAGCTTTAATGATATTGCTTGTATGTTATTTTATCAATCATTACTGTAAAACCCTATGGTGTATTATTGAAGTGTTATACCTCCTCATTCTACTTACTTGTTTTACACTTTAGATGTGAACATATACAAAGCTTTTAGTTTAAACGGTTAGTGTTGGCGACAATAAGTTGTTGTCTGTCAATGTATAGAGCGAAACAATGAAAAAATATTACTTTCAATAACTACTAAGGACAATGATTGTTTGACCGAATGATTAAAAAGTATTGAATTATCAAGAATCCAGCCGTTAACTGATAAGTTACGTGTTCGCGTCACTACATATGTAGCATGGCTCAGAGCTGAGTATACAAAAATGTTTATACTGATTTATCTATCTAAAAGGTCATTTATAGTCCCAATAATTCAATGATGACATCACAGAATATGAATCTAGGTAGCGTGAAATTAAATTCCAAAGGAAGCATTAATCTCATCTACACTACAAGTAAGCCTTCTCAAACAATGTCGAATAACACAGTTTCCTGAAAAATACCTCCAACTACCTAACATCAACCTATGCTTGGTAAATGACTTTATTAAAATGCTAAAAAAGCCTACCTATAGAGACATGGCGTGAAGTCCCAAAAAAGAAGTAAATCAGAGCAGGAAAAAATGAGGTGTACAATCCATTGATTGGTTTTACTCCGGCCAAAACACCATATGCCATTCCTGTGATTTAAAAAGTTAGACTCACACCAAAATACCAAACCTTGGGGTATATGGACTATTGAAAGTGTTAAGCCAGCAACCAGATCTGATAAAAATGATTGTAGGTTGTAAAAAGGAGCCAAAACAGAATAAAATGGGAAAACAAAGGATAGGAGGCTGGCGAATTTCGAACAAGTGCATTTTTTCAAAATCTTATATGGCGAAAATGATTTTTGTACTTCTGGCGATTTAGGATAGTGTTGTAGAAATTTGTCCATAGTATAAATTTCACGAGTTATGGAATATTTTCTTTCCAGTAGAGGATTATCAGCATCTTCATCACTAATTGACATCTAAAAAGCTTAAAGATAATGAGTGAATGAGATTACGAAAACTCAAATAAACAATGGTTATATGTAAGAAAACTATTTATTGGTCTATCAAGAAAGGAAGTATGCCGAAAAAAGTAGGACTATGCCAACACTTTCGCATAGCCTTCATCTGAAACTACTTATTACAATCTCCAAATATTTACCTACAACGATTCCAATGTAGCGATTTCCAAGTCCTTTTGAGAGTACATCAATGCATATAAATGATAGCAGCCACTTATGCGATGCAGCTTACTGAAATTCTGTGTGCCCTACAGTTTTAGTGGGTTTGTTAATTAGTGTTTAGAGTGCTCAGCTTTTAACCCACTTCAATTTGGAGAGTACAAGCTCTTGCCCCAAAACCGATCGCATATCCCTATAGTAAGATACGTCAGTTACACTGTTAAACTAGTAACTGACGGTTGGTCTTCTGTGAAGCACTCAAGAATTTCACCAAGTCATGAAGATCTAAACAAAATGATCACCCTTTATGCCTACATAATTTGAATCTACCCTTTAATGAAAAGAAGCTACGAATTCCAACTCAACAGTCCAGGGTTTTAGATGTATTATTAATTGAAACATCTCAGACGCGAAATACATGAATGAACCAACTATGGAAACTGCACAACAAAAAAACAAATCCATAACTAAATTCCGAACTACAAACGCGCGAAAAAATACTTACGGACAAACATTTGGCTGCAACAATTTTAATACCCACCTACTTCAAATAAAAAGCATATATGTGAACATTACGATCACTTAACGCATTGTAAGACATTTGCACTTAATCACGGTGTATAATAAAACGAAAATATGAACAATTTGAAAAACGTTTTGGCGTTTTTTCACCAAATTTTTCTAGTGTCTTATAAGTAAAACTCTTAAAAGACTTAAATCAAAATACTTTGCTAAATTATTTAATTGGTCTTATCTAATGTCTGCAATTACTTGAAATTAAACTGTGAGCACCAAATACGCATTTTACTTTCAAATGGGAATCTAGTAGTACAACGAGTTCAGACCTAACCAGCGAACCAAAAATAGGAACACTGAAAGATTAGGAACAAATAAGAATAGTTAATATGCCCAAGATGTAAGTTATAAGAATGTAAACTTCGGACTTAAGTCCATGATTCGGTATTAAAGATCAAGGATGTGTAATGTGAGATGTCATTTACAACTTTTCACGAATTGAGTGTCACTTCCCCTATAGCCGATGAATATAACTCTAGAATATTTTTATTAAAGTCTCACGGTTCTCAACAAAACAAATTAATAAGATATTTTGAACAAACAACAGAGAAGGCAAAATTCTTAAAAGCGAGAAGACTTCAACGACTTTATCGTGGCAAATCAAATGACAGCACATATAAGTCTAATGTGAGTTAAACATAAAGGTATTGAAAACAACGTAATCTCCTAACGTCGCAAAGTCGAGAATCACAAATGTGGCGATCAAGAATTATGATAAGTGTGTCAATGAAAAAATCACGAACTAACAAGAGCAAAGATACATATTCGGTTATCCTAGATATAGTTTGAACAAACTGATTGACGGAAGATATCTATTAGCCTATATATCAAAAAGTCGAATGAAATAACTTCAAAGATAAAGTTCAAAAACATGGTGCCAAATACAAATAAAACGCGGATAATATTTTAGAAATTATCAAGCTAATAATAAACTTAATGATCAGTGTACACCAAATAACAGTTCTAATAGACTTCATGAGCATATAGAACACATCTCAAATCAACGAACTCACCAAAAACACCACTTGAAATACCGCGAGATTTAAAGAATATTTATTGAAGTAACCAAACGCAGAGTTCATAGGTTCATATAATTCTGCACGAAATGGAAAACAATTTTACTCAAACAGTCTCCGTATCAAGCAGTGTGTCGCCGATATCTTCAGACATAGAAAATATGTATATTTAACAACAAAGAAAGAAATATTAGTATATTATTAACAAATATTGTCCTGAGATTCATCCTGGAATTCAACTAGGAAGTCATCTATACCACTTCATGTGACACTCAGCTTGGTAGCTGTTTAATAAACTGCCAAAAAGTGCTCAGGATGTTCTTAGTTATTGAAAGCTCACCTCTCAGATACCTATGCTTTAGTTGGTACAGACCTGATCGCAGGATATCAAGAATTCTTGATCCAGTTCAACTTGGTACAATTCTAGAGGGGAATTACGTAAGTTGTGCGCTTAGCCTAAAGCATGACTCAGTTGGACTGCTTGAAGTGCTGAAGGTAAGTCCGATGTTTTTCACCCAACTTTGAAGTCAATTCTGATGATCTTGAAATGTCAATTTAAATTTTCGGTCGTAAAACGTCTCCCACAAAGTTTCACGTCATCAGAGAAAAGCAATTAATCAGATGACATTTGGTGGCGGATGTCTTTTGTACAAATTAGAAGGAGAAAAGATTCTTGTTCATAATCACAAAGGACCGCACCAAGACATTATGTTGCCTTAAAAGTCGAAAAATTAATCTTTATCTGAAAATGTCGATTAGTGTTTAGATGAAAATGGATTATCTGATAACATGTAGCCGAGACTGACTTCTTCATTTGCCAGAACTTTTTCGCAGACACATCAGGAAAAAGTTGATATTGCTCGACTAATTCTCAGCATTCATGTTACATGTCCTACGTGTTTGGTTATGATCTCTTGGGTCAAAAATGGTACTAGTGTTGATTAAGGACGAAGCAGATGTACATTAGGTCAGGCGAATGTTAGTTTTGCTTAAGCACCGTCCAAGTCAATCTGGTCAGATGTGTCAGTAGACTAACCTTATTACATGCGACTTGCCAAATGTAGAACATCATTATCCTATTGTATTAGTGTGACTCATAACCTTTATTCATTCCGATAAAACACACAATACTGGTCGGTATGTTCGTGCGTTCTACCAAATGACTATGATTTCTTTAATTATTGTATAAATCAAAATATTTTGATGTTTAGAGACAAACAAAGTTTAAAGCCAAGTTGTCTTTGTTCAAACTACAGCTTTCACATAGACACTTACTCTCCAGTATCGCGTTTACAGCTCCATTAAAATATCCGTAGGACAAATTTAATCCTACCGAGAATACTCCTCATTCGTAACGTGCGTTAATGTAATAAAACCAAGTTAGTCCGAGAATCATATATGGACAGCTTTCATTTTATATGCATATAAAACAGGATTGCTTAAATCAGTTAATCTCTCTGACGGTATTTCATGAATGTTCATGATTTCTTTCTATTTTTAGTAGTCTTTTAGTGGCACATTCAAATCAGCTGGGAGTCCTTAGCCAACGTTTGTTTATTGATTGCTGACTAAAAAGTACATCTGTAGTTTTTGTATTTCCTGCCGTTCGATCACAGTCTAGACCATCTGCATCATAGTTAATAAACCGTAACGACTAACGGCTTCTTGTGTCAAGATACAGAGGGTCAAAACTTAAAACATAACACAACACATGGGTTGTTCTAGCGAGCAGACAGTCGTAATTATTCGTTCTTCTTGAGTAAGGTGTATCGCTCACCTTATTCCTCACACGTCTTTAGCTTATATTTGCCTGACTATAAAGATTGAGCCACGCCTTATCAAACCAAGTTGGGTTGTTTATATTCTTCGCCTCGAATTTCTTATTATCGGTCAAGCGCAACGAGTTTATAAAACTCATTCTCGTTTTTTGTATCTAATTCCATCTCAAATCAAGTCAGTAATTACATATGAGGGTAGCCGGTATATATGGATTGTTAGCATCATCTTTTGGCTAAATGTGAGTTACATCAGTGGGCCATAAATAACTGAATATGTCTATAACTAGTACTTTTATTGGCGCTAGCTGGATAACCATAAGGAAATGAGGAAGTTAACAACAGGAAACATTAACCTAGCTGCTGTTGAAACCGTTGTCACATGTAAACCACTAGTTTGGTCACGAAATGCGTTACAGACGATAAAGGAAGATCACGTCGAGGTATAATCTTTGACAAATTACTCAGTTCAATAATAGAACTTGAGTGAGGATGACAGTAGCCTCATAAGCAATACTACTAAATTGACTACCGACAATGGGCAACAAATAGAATGTCCTGTTAGTTGCTACACCACTTAGATAGGAAAACCAACAAGTTAGAATGGGCTCCATTCCTGACACTTGCGATAAATTACTGCATTACTGTATTACTATTTTCATGAATCCAATCAATCAGTGAACTACCTTTATACTGGGACGATGAATTTTAACACAAGTTATAAAATATGATCGATATCGTTGCGACTTTATCACGTGATTTACCCGCCAACTGAAATACGAGTTACTCAAACTTAGTACTGTATTAAATCAATGACGATCGACCGGTATGAGCAGTTTAGCGTCCTTATTGATCCTTTGTTCGCCTATTCAGTCCACTTGAGTCCAGAACGCCAATAACAGCATCCACTATGTGAATCATTAATTTCAAACATATTTGGATTATGTACCGTCCAAACAGACCATATCACACTATAAAATAGAAAATAACATTTACACAAGACCAAGCCAAAAAGTGGCTGTGAACGTGGGTGACGGTAATTAGTAAACTGAGTGCAATATGAGAGTACAAAATCGCATAATAACAATCTATAGGTCGAAATGAAGCTTATAATAAAGGAACCTAGGTATATATAATCTAGTTACTGAGTAGTTATACAATAAGAATGTATATGATATCAGTCCATTATTAGATCCCAAAAGTAACCCGTAATTTAATCTTCACTAGGGTATAACAACTAGTGAGCTGCAGAAAAGCAAGTCTGTCCTGCATCGTAATTTAAAAGTTGACATCTAATAAGAGGTATTGAAAAACACCGATGTATGGGCATTCCAGCACAACCTGAAAGCCTTCTTAAGCTAGGCTTAATTGTGATTATGCTTATTCAGACAGCTAATCGTCTGCAACATTTCGGAATCACAAGTCCCAACATGCATAAAATGCCAATAACAATAAATATTTACCAACACAGACGTTTATATATACACATATGCAAAGCCCCACTTAGGTTCATGTCATGTCATTTTGTACAGAACCCAAGCTCTTAAGGTCTAATCAGACCTGTAAAATGTACGGACAGCATACCAGTTCTGTGATTTACCGTGCTTAGTAGGATTTGACAATGTATGTCCTTTTAGTTGATTAAACTATGCAGTATGGGATACGAAGGATTGACTTCACGTATCCTCTCTTTCACCTTTAAATAGGTTAGGATAACTCAACAGACATGACAGTTGAGCGTAAATGAAAAAGAACAAATCTACCCACTGGGAGCCCATTACAGGAGGAAGTAATGACCGCATCTTCTGTTGATTTACTTAGGAAGCATCATACAGCAAACAAAACTTAATAAGGATGAACCAATAAAATGCCTCGGCCCTTAATAGACTGGCCTGAGAAACTACATATCATCGATATTAGTTGTATTAAACTTCAAAACGAATGACCTGTCTCATTATGTAGAATTGCACATTTGACCGCCTATTAAGACGAAGCGAGATCTACTAAACAATGTCTACCGAACACACCAATCTACACTTGAGACTGCACAGAAGGCTTCAGCGTACATTTGAAAAGTAGACGGCCGCATGCTTCGGCACGTCGCCAAGACTACAGCAGTAAATAACCCCGTCGTCTCGAGTTGACTTAAACATTCACCAATGATTCAGAACAAGTGAGTCTTACTGCAGCCTAACTATCTAGACTTCTGTGAGGTATCTGACTTTCATTCCATTCAACCTACCTCATACTCAACATAACTAGTCTCAAAGTTATACACCACGCCAATTCTGCATACAAGTAGAAAATACTCACTAATCCTACCCTTTACCTTTGGAATACTTTTTCGAAATAACTGGTCACCTAGTCCTGTCGAGTCTAAGAAACTTCTGAACTGTTTTCGAGCAAACCAAGGGAGCAAGAAGTAGTAGCTTATGTTCTCTAAAGTCCTCCAAATACCACGTTTGTCTGCTGTTTATTACTGGTTGAATCTTATCATGCAAGATTTAATTTACCAATTGACCTCAGTGACTCGATATCGTCTAAACTGTTCGAAGTTAGGTAGCGAGACGCAGTATGGTTGAAACTTAGGGTACTTAGTAGCCACTACTATCTGATACCTTCAGGGAATCGATGCTTTGCTTGGGATGGCAAATTCAACCCCCAGAATAGTGTACGGACAACTCATTCTTCTCAAACTACGACGAAGAAGTTGCCCATAGAGTTTCCTAGTTTCTCAAGTGACTGATATAAATTTGTGACAAAAACAATTCAAAACTAGTTACACTTCACACAAACCTCTCATGACTTATTCGATCTAATCGTTTCTATAAAACAGTTAAAACAACAGTGTTAGGAATAAAATAATTTTCATATGTATATTTTGTTTCAAATAGGTTAAGGTGATGAAATATGATTTTGTGGGGATAAGAACATCACACTATAGTATCATTCTTCATATTCATCTTTTATTGACTTCTCACATTAAAAAAACATATCTGAGATGGTTACAGAACTAATTGCACAAATTTGAAGGATGTGTAGAAGAGTGATAGAGTAAAAAATCTTTAACTATTGACTCTCAACCAAACTGACCAATGTATGCGAGAGAAAACAACAACAACAAACAATGGAAGTCAGTATGCTGGATGGGCAATGACTATTTGTTGTTGTTGACTGTTGTGGCTAATTATTTTATCATTCTTTTAGTTGAGAGTGAGACGAAGGATGAATCATTGTATCTCCCGTCGGTGGTATTGGTTGTTGTCTTGATTGATTTTTCACTCCTGATTGTGAAATATATGAGGAAGAGGAGGCGGCGGCAGCGGTGGAAGCTAAAGATGGGTCAAAAAATGATTGGAAATGTGGAGTGGTTCGCCAAATTTCTATTAAGTTTATTTTTCAGTAAACCGGAAGAATTATTCAGAAAAGGAAGGAGATAGAGAAAATAGTCAAAAGTGCACCCAATTTTAAAATATTTCACATTTTTAATCACATCTTTATAATGTTAAAAGTTTATTGATAGACCTATAAATTAATAAGATGCATCATAGCATAAAGGTCGATAACCAACTAATCTTGAACGAAATAAAAATGTAATTCAAATTACTGAAACCAGTCGTTGAAGCCAGTAACAATCATAAGTGGCACGCATCATAATTAACTGATAAGCTGACAATTGTGATGCCCAATTAAATACACATTAACGATATTTTTCAATAATAGCACACTTTTATTGTATCTTTAATTGAAATATGAACATATTCGTCTGCAAACATGTCTCTTATTTATTTTAATTACAATGTCAACTGAAATTCTATTTACGGTACATATTCAAAATATCATATGTTTTTAGTGACAAGTATCACATTACTTGAATTCCGCCTGGAGCCGCTTTAAGGCTACTGCCGGTTCTAAGCCTGAATAAAGGAGGAGGGTTGGGTATGGAGTTAGTGAAACCATCCCGTAGAAAAATAATTCACTAAAAAACGCTAACCAGAAATCAGATTATTTGAAATAGTTGATTTCCTTACATACTCACACATGAGACGAACCAATAAGATTTGAGAGAACTAGTGTAGAATTTTGGCGTGAGACTTATTTAACTATACGATATAGTAGCATTTCGGCATTAGACTTGTTGTCAATTCATAGTGAAATCCGTAACTTTAAATGTTTACACTAATCTACAACCCCCTTTTGATTCTAGGTGAATATTTTCAAAATCATTTTGGCATGACTCAAAGGTTATCCACAAATTATAGCCACACCTATTCACTTTTCTTATTGACAATAAGCAAAACATTTTGATTTTTAAGATATGATGACTGTTTTAAGAAAGTTTAAGACTTGACTGATTGTACAACTGAAAGTATTTCAAGTAAAAAAAGTGACCAACTGCCTTCACCCAATATTTATTTTCCAAGGTGTTCATTAAACTATCAATTGGGGTTTTCGATCAGACAAATCACTAGCTCCTTGCCTTAAAGTTTACATGTGTTACTATCGCTAACAAGGTCAAAGGTTAACTCATTGATACACATATTGGTCCTTAGTTGAGATAATGAGTCTAGACCACCATGGAAAACCTCGAAGAACTAGACAGCCGTTTCGTCCTATTGTGGGACTCCTCAGCAGTGCTCATTATGCATTATAAAAAATATTTCTGTCATACAGGAGGAAAGTTAATGACGATATAGTATGAGTAAACGCTATTTGTATCCCCAGATAATTGACTGAATATAGCAAGTTACAGCATATTAATTTCCCTAGTAGCATAATGTCACTAAATACAAAGATTCTATCTTAAGGATTTAATTTTGTAGTTACAATGAACTACAATTAAATATTACATTGCTAAATTAGTAAGCGTAACGAGCATAGAAAACACTAGATTATTACAACTAAAAATCAATCAAATGAATTCATTTGACTGGTTAATACCAATTATCCATCATATTACACTGAAATAACTTGACAACCGAGAAGTTATTCATCTGTCTATATGATTTTTGATAAGTGTAAGTCCTATTCCGCTCATTTATTGACAGTGATGCATGTAAGAATGTAACTTTTAATGGAGATTTCATTTCAATCCCTAACTTTAACTAAATTATATTGTTTAACTGGTATGTTAGGTATGTGCTGAATTGATGGGTTCACAACAAATAGAAGTGAATAACTTTATGTACTTAAAATGAAATCTCTAATGAAAATTACACTTTTACATGCAACACTCATTTATTAAACAGATATAAAACTGATAGAAGATACTCAGTAACGCATTATCATTAGTTGAACGCTTAAAAAAAAGACGGATAAACTTATGTCTAATCACTAGTGGTAATTAACAAATCATCTCTCATTCTTATTCTTTAGAATAATAATGAAGAACTATACTGTAAAGATGATCTTCAGGGAACTAATTAGAAGTAAGAAAGAGCTTCTTCCATTTTGAGTAAAATTTAAACAACAATGAAGGATAGATTATCGCTTCATATTAGAGCTAATTAAAAACTGTCTATATCTAGTTCTCAATGTGTCCAATTACACGTTGAGCAAACTTGATATGATTCAAGGTATATTCAAAAAATATCTATGTAGATAAAAATGATTAATCTACTTTAATTTCAACTCCTAACTCCGAAACCTTTAAGCCCATGTAACTCTAGCTAATCATCTTAACACTGTTAATCTTAATACATGACCCTAATCTGTTTTCTGTTATTATAATTAACAATTTATTGACCATATTGAAACCAATTGTTTACTTTTAATTGAATTACTTTTTAATGTAAATTTGCATTTAAATAGACACTAATTTCTTCTGATTTGTCAATACATTCCTAAAAGTCGTTGAGATATTATCCTACCTTTATAGTCAACTAATCTAACCATTAAGAATAGTTGTTGAATTATCTAATCTGGATGATATTTCCATTATTCGTTGAAACAATCTCATCAGAACCTAACTTAAAAAGACAATAAAATCTCCACAAGTAAATCATCTAGCTCAGAGGATACAAATGTTATTAAAGTACAAAGAATATATATATTTCAATAGTTGAGATCATGAGTCAATTGAAGCTAGACCACCATGGAAAACCTGGAAGCACTGGACTGCCATTTCGTCCTATTGTGCGACTCCTCAGCAGTACGCATCCACGACTTCGCCTCGTAAGATTCGAATCCAGAGCCTATCAACCGGGTCAGTTGTAAGATAGTAACTCACTGATGACAATGGTGGATGTATTGCTCAATTTCGTGGATTAGCTGAAGTTAGACATTGACACCGTTGGATGCCGGCAGGCTCAGTGATCTAGTGGTTAAGCGCTCACACGCGAGACTGACAAGTCCTGGGTTCGAACCTCACGGTGCGGGATCGTGGATGCGTACCACATGGGGAGTCTCACAACAGGACGAAACGGCCATCCAGTGCTTCCAGGTTTTTCATGGTAGTTTAGCTTCAATTGAGTCATGGTCTCAGCTACTGAAATTGCTACAATCTCCACAATACCCCTTCTGAATATATATATTTACAGTAGGATCATCAATAAAGTAAGCAACTAATTAACCCAACAATGGTAGAATTTACTAATACTATACAACACATTATTTAACATAATTTGTAGATATCTTAATAAAAGCAAAGCTTACGTTCAAGTAAATCTGTAGATGAGATTTGATTATTTTTCACTGTAGAATCTAAAATAACAAACAAATAAAAAGCGTAGAAATAACATCTTATTAATAGTTCAACTGGATTTGATTTAATTTAATTATATAAATCAGTATAGGGATTTGTAGAGATTGTAGTATATTCACATTAAAATTCATGAATTGATCGTCATTGAAAATCTGGAATCACTAGTCTAGAAGTTAAGCGTTCGCGTGCCAAACCAAAGGTCCTGGGATTAAAGTGCATTTGGTGCAGGATCGTAAATGAGCACTATTGTAGAGTCTCGTACTAGGATGAAACGACCGTCCAATGCTTTCAGGTTTTTAATGGCGATCTAGCTTAGATCGACTCATGAAAACAAATCACTTCATTGATGATAAATATATCTAAATTGCAAAGTTCTCATAGTCATTGTGGACAATTTTATCAACATTTATTTCATCTACAATCAAGTTGTTCTAATTAAAAAAGTGTGAAATTAGTTCGATCTCATGGTTCTATTTATAGCTAGTTGTCTATGTAGGTTCTATTTCATTTGTTTGTAATCAAGCTGATTATTTTTTTTCGGTTCCCCTTTGACTATGTGGTTGATTAAAATTTTACACATAGGCTGACAGAGTAGAACTACATTGTATCATCGATGGATTGTTAATCGATTTGAATCAAAGTACAAAGTTTGTTGAGACAACAGTAGGATCTGAGAAAAAGTGTTCATTAGTTAGAGGTCGTTCGAACAAGACAACCAACTTGAACTAAGAAATAACCATTTACGTAGATTATGTGTTGATAATGTTAACACCGGAATGATACTGAATATTCTGTAATTCAACTATTTAACTCAGAAAACTCGATAATACCAAAAGTATCCACCTGAAACTCATATCTTCTGCCTCGTAATGTTCCGTATCACAATAGTGAGTACAATGGAATAGGATATATTTTACAATTAACTAGATAACAAAAATCGAAATGTCCAAAAAGAACTAGAATGTTCAAAGAATTATTATTAATAATAATCAGAGAGAGGTTTTTGTGAATATTATATTAATTTAATGGTTGGGATCATGAGTCAATTGAAGCTAAACCACCATAAAAAACCTGGAAGGCCGTTTTGTCCTATTGTGGGACTCCTGAGCAGTGCCGCATCCACAATCCCACCCCGTGGGACTCGAACTCAGGACCTAATAGCCTCGCGCGAACGCCTAACTCGCGAGCGGGATCGTGGATGCGCACTGCTCAGGAGTCCCACAATTGGACAAAACGGTCGTTCAGTGCTTCCAGGTTTTCTGTGATGGTCTAGCTTCAGTTGACTCATGATCTCAACTATTAAATTATTATTATCAAATAAGTTGAGAACTGTCTTAACTATAAATAGAAACACAAATGTATTTCACTTGAATACAAATCTAAAATTAGGCAAGATAACAATAAAAAATCAACCGATGAATGATGACAGTTTCGGTGATAAATATGCTGATACACTGCTAGGATAGTTTTAACATTTTCTGTGCTACTAACCACAATGTATATGATAAGTATGAGTTATTTACTTTCTTAAAAGTATGATATATTACCTTGTGACTGTTTAACATTAATGATTATTTACCTAAAAATAATTAATTAACAGCCTATTGACCATTTCAATCTGATTAGAACTGGTAAGTTAATGTTTGATGAAATCTTCGTACAGAACTTTTAAAAATAAAGTGAAATAAGGAACATAACAATTCAATGGATTAGATCCAATGTTGAAATATGTGAAGTTGATGAATAACACATCTCGAAACATCACTCAGAAATAAAGAAAAAAAACTGATTAAGTTAAGAGAAACAATAATGACCATTGGATTTGTTAACTATTAGTCTAACAAGTTTAAATTGATGAAAACTGAAAATTTAAGATAATATGGATTCGAAGAACAAAAACAAATGTAAGTGATCGTAGTCAGTCAGCTACAACGTAGGATCAGGCACATATATGCATCGGTCCAAGTTGCCACACTTCCTTAGCACAACAAGATAAACATCGAATTCATAGAGGTAGTTAATTCAATGGTAGTAGTATATAAAAGAAAGATTGAATATAAGGATGTAGTACAGGAAGAAAGTATTAGTTCGTAGAAAGAAAGATATAAAACAATTTCAATCTCTTAGTTTTAGGGAAGACAGAGAGTGTATACACCGACACCATTGTGATCGATTCTGAGCTATGTCACTAAGAATCTCCAACCATTGGTTACGATAGTCACGCGGACCCCAACCAAGTAGTCTTCACCTACCAACATGGCTAAGACTAGAAGTTAGTGACTTCAAGCATTGATGCCACGTTTTGGTTTGGCCGCCCCTAACCTTCTTCCAACCATCACCAACACTAGTCGGCATTGATGTTGTAGTAATCAGTGTTCAGGTATACGTAACACGTGACCCAACCATCTGAGTCGATGTAGATTTACAACCTCATCAACTGATTTATCATCATTCCCTAATACTCTGTGTCTAACCTCACTATTACTTACTCGGTGATCCCGGCAGATGAGAGCAACATTTTCACAGGATCATGGAGCCCAAGTGACCATTGGTTTGTGTTAGCGGGACAGAAATTGGATTAAAGTATGTTCCATGCACGATTTTGTTGGTTGTTGGCTAATTCTTAACCAACCACCGCTGGTCGATACTTGGAGAAGACTCTAGAATCTTCTCATGTAAAAACTATAAATATACTAACATTTTTCTTATTCTAACTCTTATTTCGATCTACCCTTGTTATTTGAAATATAATTTAGTTTCTGTTTAACCGTGTTCTGATCTGGGGCCTTGTCGAGTGAATTGGTGTTCAGGAATACTAAGCAACAGGAATAGCTGGGTTGTAATAAGACAGAATTATAACAGTTTGGAATCATGTTTCTCCAACTCCTTAGGTTAATCCTCTGTATCCGCCAACACGGTTTAAGCATCGAATGTGCTTTTATCCCCCCCCCAAGTTTCGTAAAAAGCACCTACCACGAAAAGGCGAAAAATACGACTTCCCTGGTGGTGGTTATATACGCGTGGCTATATAAGAACATTTGAAGAGGAAGAATGTACTCTCCCAACTCTCGGTCATAACAAATATTTTTTAATGAGTTACCTTCCCCTATAAAAAATTAAGGTGAATATGTACATTTGGAAACTTAGTAATTTTTCCAAGAAAAAGCTCTACCGGTCTTCCAAAATAACCAGGGATCAATAAGCAATCTATGTGATATATGTTTCATGAAAGCAAGGGATAGTAAAAATGGCTAAAATAGTGATATTTTAACAATAGTTTTATTAGCACAATAGGGTTCAAGAAGATCGTCAGATCTTGTAGTTTACATGATGGACTAACTGAAGCCTTACACTTACTAAAAGCCAGGAAGCCCTGCACTGAACGGGTGTTACGTCGCAGCACGTGGCTCACCAGCAGTGTGCGTCCTCGACCAAGACATCAAATTAAAGACTACTGGGTTGGCATCCGATATTTGACATTTCTATTCAATACATGGCACGACCATCATCAAGTGTCAGTGGTAGGTAAATGCTTCTTTCTCAGAACGATTGGACTCCACTGAGTTCAATCTCTAGTGGGATCGTGAGTGAGAACTTCTGAGGAATGCCATCAGTCAGTAACAACATAGAACGTCGTACGTAAGTACATCGGTTCGAGTTGCCATACCACATTAGCACATAGATACAATTGTCCAGACAAATCCCATAGTGGTAGAGATAGTAAAAGTATAAGCAGTAATCGGAAAGTTTAGGGTTTGAAGATGTTATTCAAGGAGTATAATCCAGTGAAATAATTTTAGAAAGAGAATAAAGGGACGTGAATAATCCAGAAGATTAGAATTTGATAGAACACAAAGAGTGTATGCACCTGCGCCATTTCAAACGATTTTGAGCCATGTCATTCAAGGTCTCTAACCATCGGTTGCTATCATCTCGCCGTCCCCAACCAGGTAGTCTACACCTGCCAACATGGCTCAGTCCACTTGTCAGTGACTTCAGAGATTTGTGCACGTCGGGGCAGTCGGTGGTTGGGCATACGTAACACATGTCCCAGCCATCTCAACTGATGAGGCTTCACTACTTCATCAACTGATTTGCCATTCTTACCTAGTACCCGTTTCCTAACAACTGCGCTACTTACTCGATGGTCCCAGGATATACGAGCAATGTTTCGAAGACACCTATGATCGAATACTAGTAACCTATGAATATCCTCTACTCTTACCGGCCATGTTTCACTGCCATAAAGTAGGACGTAACGAACTGCTGCGCAGTAAACGCGTCCTTTGGTTGGTAGACGATATCTCGCCTACACCATAAATGACACAAGTTGGCAAAAGCTAGTCGAGCCTTCTGTATCTGTGCTGAGATTTCGTCACACACTAAACCACAAGGGCTGATGAGACTCCCAAGATAAGTGAAGCGGTCGACACGCTCAACTACACCACTCCCTACCATTAGTCCAGTTGTCGATGCAACCCAATCCTTAAGCAACATTTTTGCATTTCGAGGGGGAATCGGATCCCGAACATGCTTGCATTGTTGCTTAGAGTGTTTAGAAGACTGCATTTTGTCAGAGTCTTCACCAAATAGAACTATGTCATCAGCATATTCCAAGTCAACAAGTGAACCTCCCGGTAGAAGTTCAACCCCTGGAAATTTAGATGAGGAGAGTGTTATCTCTAAAAGTACGTCGACGACAAAGTTGAATAAGAATGGAGAGAGTGGACAGCCCCGAAGAACACCACTTGAGGTAATCAATTCTGATGACAGTTCGCCATAAGCTCTCACTCTACCAGTTGTGTTCGAGTAGAGAGCCTTTATAAGGTTAATGTACTTCTTTGGTACTCCTTTCAGTGACAAACACTGCATAGAACCTCACGATCAACAGAGTCGAATGGCGCCTTAAGGTCGAGAAATACTACCATTGTGGGGCGTCTGAATGTGTGTCTGTGTTCTAGAACCTGACGTAGTGTGAATATCTGATCTATACAACCACGTTCAGGTCGAAAACCAGCCTGATTTTCTCTAGTCTGTTCTTCACGAGCTTCAGTTAGGCGTCGAAGTATTATTGAGGCTAATATTTTAGACACTACATTAGTCAAACTGATTCCTGTGTGATTGTCACAAGAGGACTTTTGTCCTTTCTTATAGACTGGCACAATCAGTGATTGAGACCAGTCAGATGGGATTACGTCCTGTTCCCAGATTCTACCTAAGACCTCAGTCAATCTCACTGTTAATACTAGACCGCCATCCTTAAAAATCCCAGGGGTAAAACTGTCAGGGCCTGCTGCTCTCCCTCGCTTCAGATTTCCTATAGCTTTTTCAACTTCTTAAAGAGTTGGAGGACTTACATCAACTTGCCATTTAGGTCGACTGGAGATCGTGGGAAACCGGAGTGTGGTTGAAGGTCAGTTGAACTGATCCCTAAAGTGTTCTGCCCATCGATCCAATCTCCTGGATTGAGAGTGTATAATATGTTCATCTTTTTCTGAGATAGTTTCGCTAACAGTCGGTTTCTTAATACCGGTTCCCCTAACAAGTCTGAACAATTGTCTGCTATTACTTATTGCCGTTGCCTTTTCCATCTCTCTTGCTTTCGCTACCCACCACTGTTCACGATCATTGCGTAGGCTTCTTGTCAGCTTGCGCTTAAGCTGACTCCGCTCTTCGTTATGTTCAGAGCCAGATGGAATGAGTTTTTGAGCCATGCTTAGACGAAACATCTATTGAGTGCTTCTTGGTTTTGAATGGTTATTTAGCTATAGTCGATCTGTGATTTAAACTACAAAACAGTCATTTCAATAAGCAATTGAAACTATAACACAACAATGCATGTATTAATTTACTTGAAGATGATAACCGACTGGATAAAATGGCGGGATCGTCGAGTTGCCATGTAAATGAGGAAGCTTGAAAAGGAAAACAAAAGATTATGTATATAATTAAAGTTATGTAATGAGACAATCGACATAATTCAAATTCAGTGTTATAGTATGAACAAGATAATAGAAGTGCCTTCCCTAGTTAAAAACAAAATACATTCACAGCATGGGATATATATAAGCAGGCTTGATTGATGTGTTAATACTTCAAGATTCCATATAATTCATTAAGTTTTGATACTTTCTTCATTGATAACAATATAAAATAGGTAAAACAAAATTGTACTATTGGTAGCCGAACTTTTGGTAATACTAAGTTCTTTGAGCTAATAGACTGATTGAGAAGCTTTAATTATCATTTTGGACAACAGTATAATGATAAACGCTGTGCAATCAAACCATTTCGGTTTAAAGAATACAACACCATCAAAGGTATCCATTTGAAATGTAAATCATCGCCATCAGTATCCTAAATATTAGAACAGACGAAAATTAACAGTAAACAAAAGTATGTCAACCTGCTTTTCTTTCTGTTTTATTATTTATGATCCGGTAAATATTTGCTACAATAAAAGACATCAATAATGTGTCACATTTGGTATACAGTCTATGACATTATTCTTTCATATCTAGAGTAAATCACAATGTTTTCACAAAGATTCAATATTTCAATGAATCTAACCAACAAAGACATGGATTAACCGTTAGGGAGACGCCTTTCCACAGAACCTAGATGAGAAAAGTAGATTTAGGCGCTATTCATTATTGTACAGATTCTGAGACTTAAGTAGACTACTACTAGTTCAGAAGCAGGATTTATCAACTCCATTAAAATGGAACGTTCATATATACCGAATTCGTTTAACCAATAGATAGTTCTAGAAAATAAACTGGTCAAGGACGAAATTACATTTACACAAAACAAATTAAATGATTATTAGAGCTATAAGAGTAGTGAATATTCATAATAGCGTACTTGAAGTCTGGAGAAAAAAAACATTTAACAATAAAAGAAATTATGAAATTATATAATTATCAATTTCCTTGACCAATATACACTAATCAGTAAATAAATATGAAAACAGAAGTTATTTGATAAACAACCGAATACAACCTGTAAATTATGTAAATCAGTGAGAGATTGTAGTGATTAAATAGTTAAATTCATAAGTCGATATAAGCTAGACCACCATTGAAAACCTAGAAATATTGATTGGCCGTTTCGTCTTAGTATAGGACTCTTCAGTGGGATCGTAGATGCGAACTAATGAGAAGTTCAATACTAGGATGAAATGGCCATTCAGTGTTTCAAAATTTTCAGTGGTGATCTAGCTCACAATGACTCACAAATTCAACTAATAAATTTTACAGATTGAAATCATGAGTCAGTTGAAGCTAGACCACCATTGAAAACCTGGAAGCACTGGACGGCCGTTTCGTCCTAGTATAGGACTCCTCAGCAGTGCGCATCCACGATCCCGCACCACGCGGGGCTCGAACCCAGGACCTACTGGCTTCGCGCGCGAGCACTTAACCACTAGACCACTGAGCCGGCATCCAACGGTGTTAATGTCTAGCTTCAACCAATCCACGAAGTTGCGCCACCGTACACCATTGTCTTCAGTGAGTTCCTATCTCACAACAGACCTGGTTGAACTCCACTGGTAACGGCTTCTCACTAGAACTTCGGGAGTTTTTCTTGAAGTGAGCAGTTGATTATTATCAGAATGGGTTTTGTGGAGATTTTAGAAATTTCACAGATTGAAATCATGAGTCAGTTGAAGCTAGACCACCATGGAAAACCTGGAAGCACTGGACGGCCGTTTCGTCCTCGTATGGGACTCCTCAGCAGTGCTTCCAGGTTTTCAATGGTGGTCTAGCTTCAACTGACTCATGATTTCAATCTGTGAAATTTCTAAAATCTCCACAAAACCCATTCTGATAAGAATAAATTTTACACGTATCTAATTTTGACTTCTTGTAAATTCTAACTCTCATTCGTCTTATTTTATAATAACTGTAATAAATTACAACGACTTAGTAAAAATAAGAGATTAAATTAAAAATGAGGTTATAGGGTTAGATCTTAAAAGAAGCATTCATACAGACATTATTATGATAACTAATAAATTTTTAAGATAAAGACAAAAAACGGTGGGAATATTAATTATGGACGACTTTTGAGTGTCGCTAGACTGACTTTCAGAGTGTACACTTAATAACCAGGACCAAAAAAGGGTTATAAACCTGTGTAAGGAATTAAAATTATGATTTACATTTGATGGTCAAAAGTTAAAAAATAGATTTAGGGTTTTCATCATGAACCGACATCAGCTACAATGAGGAAATTCTATTTAGCCAAATAGATGAGTGAATTTCGAGCCAAAATCCGAGACCTATTATCTTATACCTGATTGGTTCGTCTATAAATTATAGTTTCACCAGGAAAACTTAATCAATATATACAATGATTGATAAACGAAAGAAATTAAAGATAATTACTAATGTGAAGATCAAATTAGGAAAGATGAACTATGAAATTAGCTTTTGAGAGAAAGATATAGAATAATAAGAGTATCACAACTAATAGCTTATAGAATTCTTTAAAACGTTAGCTGAAATACTTATCATAGATCAAAGCATGAATTAAAATGATTGATTAGTAGGTTATTTATCTTAAAATGAATAGTTATCTTGAAAGTATATCTTCTATGTTTATTAAATCTACTTGACCTAACAATAAATCTCTAAACATTAAACGTCACATTCATATTTACTGTTTTAGACGCAAAAATAAACTTTAAACAGAGTCAGTCCGTCATTAACAACGTAGAAATTTGTACATACGTACATCAGTTCAAGTTGCCCCCAAATGCCCTGGTACGGACGAGAGTGAGGAGAGTCCGCTCTCCCTCTCGAAATACTCTCACATAGCCACGCGTATATAGCCACTACCAGAGAAGTCCTACTCACTGCCTTCTCGTGGCGGGGGTGTTATTTACAAAAATGAGAGGACGAAAAGCGAATGTCCGGCGCTTTAACCGGATCAAACCAATGGTGCACATGGGCTCCAGTATCCTGTGGGAACAAATGGCGTATGAACCAATCGCTGGTCACCGGCTACCATGGGACTGCATCTCCTTACGATGCTCCAATGCCTTGTGGATTAGACCTTTAGGTCAAAGGCTCGGGGAGTGGCCCCCTAAGAAAACCACCTGCTTCGGTTTGGGCACCCGGGCAGTATCACAGCCCTCACACATATCGAATAAGATTTGTGTGGTGCATATGTATTTGATGCCTTCTTGTACCAATATCTGTTTTAAAATAAATAATAAATAATAATACCACATTAGCACAGAATCTTAAACAGAACTTATAGTAACAAATATAACAAGGGACATTTTGTCTAGCTACTAACTCACCCCCACCAACTACTCCTGAATGAAAAGATAAGTATTTATACTTGCTTTAATCGACAATGATAATTTTCTATTGTAACCATGAATCTCATAACTTCTGGTAATAAACGATACTCTTACATTTTGACAATTAAAAAAATATATATAATTTACTTTCTTAATTGAATCAATGCTACATTGTAAAATAGAAACAAGACAGAAAAAAATACTAAATGTGCGCCAAAATTAATTACCTGAATTAGTTGAAGTAGGATGGGAATCCATATCGGTTAGGCCTGTGTTGCAGCAGAAACTACTATTATTAGTATTAGTATTATTATTATTCTGAAAAGAAAAGCCGGAGCAGATTCTATAAGCAATTAACACTGAATATATCAATAGAATTATTAAACTGCAAGAAACTCATTAACATAACTCACTAACATTACATTACAGTGCAAATGTACAACACTTTGAAATTGCCTTATAACATAATCAATCTATTATATAAGAAGTGAAAAGTCAGTAGTTAATAAACGAATCAGATGATAAATCATCTGTATATAGTTGAGATTAATGCGTTAGTATATGTAATCCAACTATTAATCACCTACCTTTAGCAAAAAAAAGACAAAAAATCAAAACTAATTTCAGTTAGAGATGTAAAGCATTGAACACCGATCTGGTGGTTTTTAAAGCAAAGTGCACACTAAGAAACTTCAGGGTCCTATATTGGGCCCCTGACAACGTCATGTGTACACACCGCTGAAGAGTATCATACTAGGACGAAGCAGCTGTCTAGTGCTTCCTAGTTTTCAATGGTATTCTAGTTTATGACGAATGTGTTCTATGAACATGAATTTAAAGAACGGGATGAAAGAGAAAAATTAATGACACAAAACCTACTTATAACTTTTGCTGTTGTGATGTGAAACTAGACTTGTTCTAAAGTTCCAAATTCAATTTGCCTGCTCATTACACTACAACAAGCAATTAACACAATCACATCTTTCAAGAATCTGAGGTTAGAATATTATTAGGAACTTTCCTACTCCTAGAATGATCAATAATAAGATCCATTCACTGACCTTCCAAAACACTTTGTAAATTCGCTACTGATCATTCAACACAAAATGCAACAATGCCATCCGTATATTAAAAAAAGATACTTGTTGGCCTTTTACTACCACAGGGTAGTAAAATGCTTTAGAAAATAACAAAAATAAATACGAAAGTGTCATTTAACTACTCGACAATAATTAGTACTAATGTTGAATGAGAGTAAGAGAATATCCCCATGTAAGTACAATTACTAGTCAGCTATAAATCATAAATTTTTGTGTACAGGTTTAAGCAATCATACTTGGACGAAAAAATATTGAGAGACATAAGTTTAAGCTATTAAGTCATAACTGCAGTAACAATTCATATATATATAATATATATATATATATATATATATATATATATATATATATATATATATATATAACATGTTTATTGAGTGTCGTAGTAGCAAACAATTTATTGATCCCTTCAACGACTGTATAAGGAGTGTGATCATGAAAAAAAGTTCAATAACTTACTAAGTATATCAAGATATTAACCGGTTCAGTACAACCGATGGGAGCTCCTAAACATAGACTACTTTCTATGCAACACTTATCAATAAGACCCAGATAGTTATGAGAAAACTGATGAGGTTAGAACAGGCATTACCCAGTTTTACAGAGATGTTTGCACTGAACTATTTTAACTGTCACCGCCTTTATGTAGAACTGAGATTATTACATTAGGAAACACTAACATCTAGTTTTTATTTGTTTAGGTAACTTGATATTGATCAACATTTTACTTGATAAGTATTTTTGAAGCCAAATTTCAGAATAGGTGAAATCTATACAACCCATTCTTCAAAATTCCAACTATGAAATAACAAGGTGATACTTCACATCACTTTTATTTTGAACATCCTAGTAACCTTGACATACGGAAAAGATATATATGATCTATAGTCGAGTACATGAATTCAAAATAGGTTATTGAGTTGCACTAATTTAGAATGATGATGGGGTTGCGCAAAATCGTAGACTGATTGGAGTTAAACATTAATACTTTTGGATGCCAGTCGGCTCAGTGGTCTAGAATTAAGAGTTCATACGCGGAACCGAAGGTCTTGGGTTTAATTTCAGAGTGAGGGGTGGTGCTTCCAGATTTTCAATGTTGGTTTAACTAAGATCAGTTCGTGATTTCAGCTGTTAAAATATTTTGTAGTTTTTGTTGGACAAAACCCGTAGTAATATTTCTAGAACAATGTGGATTTTACAATTTTCAGATGTGCTGAGATGGATGGTGGTTCAAAGATAACGGACACTCAAATAAAACAATGTAACTTAAAAGCTGATCATATAAATGCATATTTAGTGGATGAGTTACGATTGGAAGCAATGATTATTTATTTATCTAGAAATAGACCAAATCATAAGGAAATGTGTCTAAATATTATCAAAAAAATTCATCCATCTACGAAGTTGGACCGAATTTTGTACATATCAGCCATGAAGAATGAGAATTAAACACAATCAAAGTCGAAGTTTGATATGAAAATTCAAATTTGTAAAGTGATAATTTGAATGACAGAAATCTTCATTAAGGTTTAGTATAAATTCTAAAAAACATTATTAGCATAAGAGGTTTGTGGAAGCTGATGAGCTTTATAGTTAACATCGTGGACGGATCTTGGCTAGACAACCATTCAGAATCATAGGGGACTTGCTGGCAGTTTCTCTCTAGTACGTGACTACTCATTGGCTATGATCATACACGATCCGACTGTAGATCGAATGTAAGCTTTCAGTAGTTTGACTGTTAAACGCTCGTTACGAGACCTGGTGCTCCTGAGTCTTATTCCCGAAGGGGTCGAGAATAAGCACTCTCGAGCAATCCCATACTAGGGCAAAACATGTATCCAGCTGTTAGCGGGACATAGACCGGATTAAAGCATGCTCAATGCATGATTGCTTTGGTGCACGCTGATTGGCTAATTCTTAACCAATCAGCACTAGTCGATAGTTGGAGAACACTCTAGAATCTTCTCATGTAGGATACTATAAATATACTGACGTTTTTCTCTATTGTGCTTCTGACTTCCATCTAACCTTGTTATTTGGAATATAATCTCTTCCTGTTCAACCGTGTTTTGATTTGGGGACTTGTCGAGTGAATCGGTGTCCGAGAATACTAAGCAATAGGAATAGCCGGGTCATAACCGTAAGAAAACAAGCTATAACAGTGGCGACGGGGAAAAAGGAAAACAAATTCAAGATGCCTATATCAGATGACCAGCTTAACCGAATACTACAACAACAGCAAGCACAACTTGATGCACAAATGCGGTTGTTGGAGACTCTGACTCGACAGTTCAACATCCACAGTTCGAGTTCACACGCTATTTCAAGTTCGTCTTGTGATGCAGTTGCTAGCAGCATCCCAGAATTCGTCTATGATCCCGAAAATGGAAATACTTTTCTCACGTGGTTCAGACGTTGGGAAGATACATTTAGAACAGAATTCTGTAATCAAGACGATGCGTGGAAGACCCGATTGTTGGTACGTAAGTTGGGAAGCAACGAACATGCACGTTTTGCTGACCATATTTTGCCAAAGTTACCTCGAGAGCTCAGTTTCGAGGAGACGGTATTTCAGCTGTCAGAGATATTCGGCGAGTCATCCTCGTTGTTTAGTATTCGATATCGGTGTCTAAATTTGGTGAAACGCGAAGCTGATGAATATGGTGTTCTAGCAGACATTGTCAACAGAGAATGTGAACGTTTCAAGTTGCGCTCGTTGACTGATGACCAATTTAAATGCTTAATATTCATCAAAGCTCTTCAGTCACCACAAGACGCTGAGATCAGGACTAGACTTTTGGCTCGACTGGACCAAGATCCAAACGTCACACTCAGAACATTGACAGATGAGTGTAAGCGTCTACAAAGCATCAGACACGACAACGAGTTGATTGAACAGGTAAATCCTAATTTAACCTGCGGTAGTGTAAATACTATTACTAGGTTAAAAGTTCAGAAGCCGGTAACAACTCGTAACAAACCAAGGACTGCATGCTGGTTATGCGGTGATTGGCATTATGCACGATTCTGTCCGTTCAAGAAGCATAAATGTCAGGAGTGCAACAAACGTGGACATAAAGAAGGTCATTGTCCACCGAAGCGTACGTCTCAGCCTAAGAAGAAGCATAAACGTCCTCGACATGTGAAATCAGCCGAGTCCAAATCTCTTTCTTTGGTAGCTGCCTTTCAAACAAACTATGACATTCAGAGAAAGTATGTTACTATCCAGATAAACGGCATATCAGCTCGTCTTCAAATTGACACGGCATCAGATATCACGTTAGTGTCTAGAGAAACATATAACTTGCTGGGTAAACCGCCAATGAAGCCATCTAAGAAAACGGCTAAAAACGCATCAGGTGGTGTGCTAAAACTGGTTGGTGAATTACAGTGTGAATTTTCCTTCAATGGAACTAACTGTACAGGAATATGTTACCTAACAGAACGGCCGAACCTTGATCTTCTTGGTCTAGATATGTTAGACAAACTTGGAATAATGGATGTACCAATTAACAGTGTCTGTAACGTATCGTGTTCATCATTGAACAGCTCAGTACTTCCAAAGAAGACAGGTGAAAGGTTACTAGAAAAACTGAAAAGAAAGTTTGCCTCTGTTTTTCAGAATAGCCTTGGCCACTGTACCAAGATGAAAGCGCATTTACCAGTAAAACCAGATGCCATACCTATTTTTCGCCCGAGACGTCCTGTACCATATGCTGCTCTTGAGCTAGTCGACCAGGAACTTAATCGCTTGCAACAGGCTGGTGTAATCCGACCAGTTAACTACTCTGCATGGGCCGCACCGATTGTAGTGATTAAGAAGGCCAATGGGACTATACGCATATGTGCCGATTTCTCGACCGGTTTAAATGCTGCATTAGATGTATATCAATATCCATTACCAGTTCCTGAAGACCTGTTTGCCAAGCTTAATGGTGGGACATGCTTCGCGAAAATAGACTTCTCTGATGCTTATCTCCAAGTGGAAGTAGATGAAGATAGTAGAGAGCTTCTGACTATTAACACTCATCGAGGGTTATTTCAATACACTCGTCTACCATTTGGCATCAAGACCGCACCCGCCATCTTTCAGCAAATAATGGATACGATGCTAACAGGTATACCTGGTACAGCAGCTTACCTAGATGATATCATAGTTATGGGTTCAACTGACAGTGAACTTTCTGATCGACTACACCAAGTCCTTAACCGAGT